CTCCGCCCCCATGGATACGTCGGTTCCGGGTACCCAGCAAGGGGGTGGCTTCATTTGAAAAGGGAGTGGCGTTGTACGTTTTAGTCCCCTTTTCTCGGGACTCCCGTGAGACTGGGCGGGGGGGACAGCAGTGGCGTTTCATTTGGGGGGCAGTTCCTTTGGGATGGTTTGGGGCATGTAGTGGTGGAGATCGAGAGAAAGGCAGAATTTCGGGGAGGGCGGTGAGCGTCAAGCAAACGGAAGAGAAATTCCCCCCCCGGGGCTAACTTTAGTAGGAGGGGGGGGGGGGGGTGTAATCATAGTCGTGCATGCCGTAGTTGTTTGACCATGGCCCTCGCATCCCTACAAAGCCGGGATGGAGCACGTAGGGAGGGGGGGGGGGGTGTACTCATAGTCGTGCATGCCGTAGTCGTTAGACCATTGACCTCGCATCCCTACAAAGCCGGGACGGAGCACGCCGGGTTCTCACCGGACCAGGCTCTCACATCACCAAGCGCGAAGCGCCGTGAGGTATTTGGCGAGTCGCATGAAGGGTGAGCTGCATCCTGCTAAGGGTGTTCGGCATCTTGTGCTTACTTCCTTGCGTACGGATGACAGCTACGTATGACTTAGTTTATTTTCTGGTGCTTACACTTCCAGAGACAGTTGTAAGCGCTGTGTAACTGCCTCGAGGAAGCTTGACCATTTTAACACAACGTGGTGCGATCATCCCCCGTTGCGCGGAGTGAGGTTTCTCGACCCCGCACAACATGATCTACTCGACCACCATTATGGTTACCGCCAAAAAAAAAACAGAGGTAAAAAAAAAAAAGACGGTAACCTGGTTGCCGAGTTCACGAAGTGAATTGGCTTGTTTTACAACGTCGTCGCCAATCGACGAAAACCCAATCCCGATGGCAAACACCGAGTGGAGGGAGGGGGGGGGGGTATTTTTGTATTCAAAAGTATTTTGGCCTGAAGGGCAACTCAAAGCTTTTCACATCCTGAACCATGTTGTTGTTGAGCGGGGCAACCTTACGCAGAGAATAGTATTGTATCACGCCCCACCGATTTCTTGGTGTTGCGGGAGTTGGGTGTGTCTTGATGGACAAGGTGCATGCGCGCAAGGAAGACCCCCCCTGGGGGCAATTGTAGCAGGGGGGAGGGCACCTTCATACGTGTTGATGATGTTTTAATCCCGGGACCACCTCAAAGTGTTTTTCCACATTCTGGGCCGTTCGGGGGGGGGAGGGTCCGACTCAGTGAGGTCGGGGAGGGGGGGGGGGTAGCGAAGAAAGAGACGTTGCCTACCTTATAGCTCCCCCCGCGCCTTTGTCGTGGTGGTGGTACCATTGACCCGAGTTGGGACCACAATGTCTCTTACCAGGACCACAAGGAGTCGTTGTGAGGCGGTACTCGTTGAATGATACCGACCAACGCAGGCAGACTCATGTATATATAGTCTACTGTATTACTCAACATATTTGGTAATGATAGGTGATGGTTATTTCTGGTTTGGGTTGGCTCAAAACGAATGAATTTTGTCCACCCCGGAACCTCAAGTCGCGAAAATAAAGACCAGAAACGACGGACGGCGTTTTTTGTCGATACCCGTTGTCCCCTGAAAGAGGAAATGCATTGTGAGATTTTGGCACTCAAGGTCAATTTTTCCAGATTGAAACCGAATCTCCTTAGATCTTCATAGCCGTTGGACGTCTTGGTGGTCGGCAGTTTTGGTGCTCTGTTTCGTGCTTGTCGTCGTCGTAGGTGTTTCGTGTGCGGCGCGGCAGTGCCGAGTCTCTTGGGTGGCGTCAGAAAACCGTCCGGAGGCACTGTAGTTTCTCAGTTCGCACGTTCTTCTGGGTAGTAGCTGTGTTGATGTCGCTGTAACTTTCGTTCACCAGTAGCGTGGAACGGTAGCGGTAGTCGTTGTTTCCTCCTTCCTCCCAGCTTGCTTTTAGGTTCCCATTTGGCCACGTGATGCCTCGTCGTTGGTTGCGATTTTTTCCTACACCAAAGGCACAAGACACAAACAAAACGCGTGTCGTTTATGTATTTGTAGAACATGGGTTGTCGTGTGTTTCTTCTGTCCTAATTCGCCCGCGCCGTCTCCCAGGAAGGTCGTCAAAAACGGATTCCATGCGTCATGCAACGTGGCGGTCGCTCAGTAGTAGTAGGGGTTGTCTCGGGGGTCGTGAATTTTCGAGGCTGCACTGGCTGTAACGTAGCATTTTATCGACAGCGAGCCTGAGCAACATGAAAAAAGCTGTTGATACACCAGGCATCGTTCGCTAGTCGAGGGCAGCCCGGGGGGGAGACTGGGAATGGTACTCTGTTCAAATGAAGTTGATCAACATCGGTGAGGATACTGAAGCTTGTTGGCTTCAATCCATCAACGACAAAGTAGAGCAACCACATCGCGTACACACGCCGGAACACTCCGGCTGACAAGACACATGGCTGGTCGGCCGCATCATGTTTTTAACAACATCATCGCCGAGCTCATTGCCTGAACGGCCATTGAGCGAGGTGCCCCCCATGGCGCGAAAATGCTTTGCACTGTTCATTTTAGTAAAAGTGCAGCTGTACATCGACAGCAGATATTTCTTTGTCGCAAGCGTTGGCTCCGACCGGGCCAGGTCAACCACACAAAAAAATTGCTCTCTTGCCGAGAAGAGCACATCCGCATAGCCGTTTGGGGAAATGCTTGCAGAGCGCCTATCGCAGTAGGCTTCCCCTGCACTTTACCCACATCAAAAACGATCTATGCGACAAAGGCTCAAACACGTGGATGCCGCAACCACAAGAACCCGCAACTGCCAAAAAATGGTTGCTACTGCAGCCGTTTGGGCCGCGCTGGCTCGTCTCTCAAGTCAGTGCTCACGCCGCACAGTACCCCAGCAGTGGCGTACGGACCAACGATACAACGTACCATGTTCGTGAGACAGTTTTTTCCAGTGGCACTGGCAAGAAACTAACGCTGGGCCTGCACACTACCGCGTCCGCATCCGGGGCCGCATCAACAACAGGTTCATGCAAAAGAAGCCAGGAATATTATAAGACCACTGGCGAAAATCCTGCCTGCGTGCCTGCCGGGATGGCCAAAACTCGACACGAACGAGAACTTGTACACTCGCTGGCAGCCCAAACGCGAAAAAAAGTCAAATCAGTATGGTATCCTTGGCTAATTTTGCCTACAAGTAATTGTTCCTTAATTTACCGATCGAGCCTCTCCCCAAAAGGAAGGAAGGCCACGCTTAGCTTCATCTTCCAGACGTCTAAACAGCTGGCTGCATTCGCAGCAGCCATACAGACTCGAGCGAGTGAGAGCCCCAACATAAACAAATCGCCGCGAGACCTCTCCCCAAATCATATGCATGGGTATGTCCAGAGCTTGGCCGAGTCTCGCTCTTGACGAACGAAAATTCCCCTTTACGATGTATATGCTCTCATGGACCATAACCAGGAAATCTCAGCAACACAAAGCAGCGCCCTCCCCAAATGCAGTCCGACTTGGAAAGCTTCGGCACCCTAACGGTATAGCGACAGCAGCATGGCAATGGTCTCTATCTGGCTGTAGTTCTATGCATAGAGTGCTACACCTCGGTTTTGACCTTCTTCTGGGCCTTAGCCGCCAACTTCGCGGCCTTCTTCGCCTTCTTCCTGGCAGCCTTTGCGGCCGCGGCGGCGGCCGCCGCTTCATCCTCCCCCTCCTCTGCTGCTACCGTCGCCACCGCCACTCGGCGCTTGTTGGTGTTGGTGTTGGCTACTGCAGCCTCCCCCCCTTCTTCCTCCCTCGGCTGCTCTTCCTTCTCCTCGCCCCCGTCCGCTTTCGGGAGGCCTTCGAGAGACCCCTCGATCGATATCAATCCTGCCGCCTCGTGCATCCTGCACGCGTCGATTGGAGTGGGATATGACACGATGGCAAACAAAAGAGTGAGCAACGTCAGGTTGGTTTCAATCGAGGTATATACCCAAAGAGAACAGGAGGAGGTGGTCACCGCTGTACGGGCGACGGCTATGCGTCAAATGATATGACGGGATTATCGACACCTGCACCCTCTTTGCCCGTCACAAAACGCGAGAGCCTGCTGGCATTGCAAAGGATGTCACAGGTGTACGGCTTTTTTCGGATCAGGAGGCCTCCCGCGGTACAAATAAATGTCGGTGCTTCTCAGAAGATACGAGTCAAATCTCAACACTACGGGGGGGATGCTCTCATGCACGCATCGACAGCACTTGTTGCAGGACTTACGGTGCCGTACCCCCCACCCCTCGCGCTCTTCCCTCCTTCCGGGTTTCTGCCATATTTTTCTCCATCTCTCTCTGCCGCTCGCACAACGCACCTAGTAACGACAAACTGCATGTCGGCTCCTACAGCGATGACCTCTCCCGCTCCATGCTTGCCCCCCCGACTCCGTTGCCATTCTCGAGCGGTCATGTCGAATCTGAAACCCTCTCCCATCGATTCCGATGCCACCGACGCGTTGAATATGCCGCATACCAGCATCCCTACGTGAGTACTCGTAACCTGACGGTGAGGGGGCACAGCAGGTACAAAACAACACATAAAGTGGGTTCTAGACGATGTCCTTGCTAAACCCGCCCCACCGAGAAATGCAACGTTGTCGGCCGGCGGTGTGGCGTGTCTCGGTTCCAGTTTCGGTGCTGCATAGGTGGTGATGCAGCAACGACTACCTGGGCGTCTTGGTTTCCTTGCATACATCGGAATGCATACGCATTTGTCGTGTATAAATAGTATACGGTCTACACTGCTTCTGTTCAAGGCGCTGCTGAGATTTTGGAGACAGAGAACATCCTTTCAACAAACAATTTGCAACTACTGCTGCTGCACCCTTACCTTGTTGACACGTCCTTGCAAAACGTGGCCAGGCCGTGGGCGGAACACCTGCGCCTTGGCCTTGACGTCGAAGTGGATGTGCGGCATTTCATCCTCAATCCGGCCTTCTCTCGCCCCGTCGCCGAACGACAGGTCCGACACCGCCAGCAACACGCCCCCCAGTGCCTCGTTGTAGCGCATGAGGAACTGGTAGATGTTGCGGCGGATGCCGGCATAGATGTCGCCGATGTCGCTCGGCAGCAGGCTCACACACATCTTGAGCTGCGGTTAACGCGGATGTGGACACACGTGATGCGCAAGGTGTGAGACTTACACATCAGTTGCTATCGCCGGGAGGACAAAGCAAGTGAAACAGGAGACTGGCAGCCGACCCGTAGTTGCGCCGCACGGCAACGTGCGGTCTAGGTTTTGGTTTTTGCTCAGGCAACGCAACACCAGGCCCGGTGCAACAACTGCGCGCGGGACTTCCTGTAACGAGAGTTCCGATAGAAGACACTAGTGCCAATTGACATTGGCGTTCATGGGTATGCTTTGGTATCTGGTACCCTTTAGCATACCGAGAGGACGGAAGCAACTTTTACAACCAGCCAGCCACACAAGACACCGAGGCTCGCTTTGGTTGGGGCCAGAGGGACCTGACACGCCGATAGCTTTCAGCTAAATCCACACAAAGACAACAGTGCCAAGAAGAAAGCAACTCACCTCCACTTCCTCGAACGGAGAGGCCGCCATCGCTCGAAGATGAGCGAGGAACACACAGCTATGTAGAGAGAGTAGAGGGCGAGCGCTTTGCTGTCTGTCGCTAGCATGGTTCCGCCGCCATCCTTGCCGACAAAGGGTCCTCGCAGAATCATAGTGGTACAGCCTGATTCCATATGTTGGTCCCCTGCGGCGTGATTATCGCGCTCGCACTGTCACCACCAGCCAGCACGCACGGACGCACACAGCACAGACAGCCGCGGCCCCTTGCTGGCACTCCTGAGAATCCCTGCTGCCAACTGCGCCAACTATGCCGCCCACAGCCCCGCGGGTCGGGGACACCCAGAACCAGGCGTGGAAAAATGACAAGAGCAAGTTCGGGCTCAAGATGATGCAGAAGATGGGGTGGACCGAGGGCAAGGGCCTCGGCAAGAACGAGGATGGTGTGTCCGAGCACGTCAAGGTGTCCAAGAAGTCCAACAACCTGGGGCTAGGAGCGACGCACGACTCGTCGGGAGCCGCGGGCTGGGCGAGCGCAGCGGTGAGCTTCAACGGGGTGCTGGAGACACTCGGGAAGGCCTACGGCGGCGGTGCGGATGTCGGCGGCAAGGCGAAGACGAAGGGCGACAAGAGGACGAAGAAGAAGCTGAAGAAGGCGGAGAAGAAGAAAAAGAAGAAGCAAACGGTGAAGGATGATGAGGATGCCGCCGACAGCAGCAGCAGCAGCAGCAGCAGCAGCAGCAGTGAGGGTGGGCCTGCTATGGCTGCGGCCCAGGCAGCGAGCTCATGTCCCTCGCGGGCGAGACGCGTACGATCCAAGGACGTCAAGGGCTTCAGCGCGGCGGAACTGCGAGCCATCCTCGGCCAAGCTGCCACCACCGCCGACCCCTCGCTCCCCTCGTACCCGGTAGTTCGGGGCGGCTACGGCGCCGAAGCAGCGGCTGCAGCAGCAACAGATCCGAAAATCTCGAAGAAAAAGTCCTCCAACAAGAAAAGCAAGGGATCCAAGTCGACGACGCTCGACGCGCCGCCGCGCCGGCCGCGCACGCGATCGATGGACGAAACCGCCCCCCTCGCTGAACCCGCAGCCATCGTCGGCGGAAAGAGGCCGAGAGACCAACCCGTCGATCACGCAGGGGAAGGCGAAGAGGCGGAGGGAGAAGCGGCGGCAAGTAGTACCACCGCCAGCGCACCGCGCAAGTCCAAGAAGAAAAAGGGCGGAGCGAGCGAGGGGGAGGGGGAGGGATGCGAGACAGCGCCGGTCGCCGGGAGCAGCAAGGATAAGAAACGAGCGAAGAAGAGCAAGAAACACAAAGGCCGATGACGAGGGGCGGGGGGGCGGGAAGGTTGAAATTTTACGCTGATTGGACGGCATTGTTCGGGCAGGGGGGGGTTGGGCCAAGAAGGAGTGCACGAGTTTCCGTGGCGGTGGCAGTGGCGGCGGGCAACAAAGGTTTGAGAATCCAAGGCGGTGGGGAGATGCCACTCTCTTGCAACGTGATGTCTCTCGGGCTGGATTTACCTTGATCAGTAATTTAGAAATGGGGGCCTTTTTTGTTGCGGAGGTTGCGAAATTAGTCGATGCAAAATCGCCTCGTCCAACCGCTCTCGCTGTGCGCATGCACGGAAAGTGCACTGGGTGGGACACCACACAGCTCCAACGGCTTGGGCACACGGGTAGCTTTCGCAGTACGCTCACCCGCCCCCCGCCCCCCTCCACTCTGGCTGCATCCTTGATGGCGGCACTTGCGATTGTTTTGTGATGATATGTACGAGCTGTGGCAACCACCACGGCGTTGTTCCCCTTTGCTTTGCCATCGCCATATACTACGATGTGCAAACTGGGTTTGTGGGTGCCCCAACTTTTGTAGCTTTCGGGACGTCCATTAGCAGCGACCCTGCAGGAGCTCTTACGTTTCTGCGATAGTTGGAATTCCGGACTAATCGGAGCTCCGCTTTTTCTAGACGCCGCCCTAGCATTTTTCGCATGGGCTTGCGTCATTAAGCGTTGGAGTTGGCTGGTCGGGCCGAACGATTGAAGGGCTTTGTTTCAAGCGCTTGCTTAGATGTTATGACAAACGTTCTCGCACGCTTTTTGGAGAGATCTTGGAGAGATCTTGGAGAGATCTTGTTGACGTTGAAATAGTGACTTGACGCGTCGATTGTCCGCCTCTATTATTTTCTGCATGGTATTCTATCAACTCGCTGAAAGCCTGTGGGAGGTTGTCTTATTGCGCCTCCGTGGGTTAACACGAGCCCCGGCGGCGGTGGATTTTTTAGGTCAGGAATCTTGTGGTGTCCATAATTTTTTGTCTTGGTTGGCACCGTCCGCAAATATTTGTTGTGGCGACGGCGAACACTCAGGCCGAGTCTTACGTCGTGATTATTTCGGAGATTTTTTTTCTCTCGGTGGGGGGGGGGGTGGTCTGCAAGGGAAAAATTATGTGGATCCAAACGACCTTCTTACGGTTCCTCGAGATAGATTTTTTTCTCAGGGAAAAAAAAGGGCCGATTCAAGTCTTTGTGGGTCACAACATGCTTCAGTTCACGGTTTCGGCTCGTGTGCGACCAACAAGACACCGAGTGCCCTGTTTTTGGGTCGCCTCCAGAGAGCATGTATATCATCGCACGCCAGTGACTGCAGTTTGTGGATGTCGTCGGCCAAAGGCCTCTCTCTGGCATGCGTTGTGGACTGATCACGCTCGGAGCAACCAGAAAAAAAAAAGGCAACGTTCAAAAAAGTCAACATCGCAACACACTTCGGTTCACGTTTACAGGCAGTGTGCAATCAAAACTGGACAATACGCTCTGCTTCTGGGACGCGAGCAGAGCGATTGTGTATGATCACACTACATTGGCAGTAGTTTGTGGATGTCATCGGCCGAAAGCCTCTCTCTGGCATGTGTTGTGGACTGGTAGCGGGTGACACACGGAGCAAACACGCGGCGGAACAAGAAAAAAGTAAAAAAAGTTAACACCGCAACTCACTTCGGTTCACGTTTACAGGCCGTGTGCAATCAAAACTGGACAATATGATCTGTTTCTGGGACGCGAGCAGAGGGTATGCATATGATCACACGCCACTGGCTGCAGTTTGTGGATGTCGACGGCGTAAAGCCTCTCTCTGGCGTGTATTTTGACTGGTCACACACGCAGCAGGCACAAAAACGGCTCTTTTCGGCCCAACGGCAAGAACGTCAGCAGAGCAATGTGGCAGGGTTGACGTTATCGGCTCGTGTGCGGTCAACACGACGCAGAACGCCCTGAAATTTTGATATCTGCAGAGGGTTTGTGCATGGCCTAATGATACTGGCCTCTGTTTGGCCGGCAGACGGTGTAGTTCCTCGTTCTGGCACGATCGGGGTGTGACCAGGGGGTACCCCCCCCCAATTCCAAACTGGAAATTATCAGCCGATCCAGTTTGGAAAATGGGCCTATTTTCCAACGCGGCAGCTGGGATCCTAGGAAATGTTCGGCGATTTGGAATTTGGGCGTTTGGAATTGGCCAAATTCCTCCGCGTAAGACGCTCAAATAATTATTTGGGCTGAGAAAGGACCCCCCGCCCAATAAAAATCCCGAAATAATCACGACGTAAGACTCGGCCTCACTAATTTTTACTTTTCATGCTAACACCATCGACGGGCCATCCAGCGGCGTCGCGCATGAGGCCAACGTTAACGTTGCAAGAGTAGTTGCGATACAGGGGCTGTTTCATCCTTGCTATCCTCCACCTGTGTGTGGTGTGTGCCAGATGCTAGACATTGTGTTTGTGTTTATTGTTGAGCCGCGCACATGTTTATACCGCCGCCCAGAAGCAAGCACATCGGGCGTTTTACCATGGTCCACGCATGTACAACTGAAATCGTTCAGCTTCCCCCGATGGGTCAACCGAGGGCCATCCCTTGATAAGCATTACTTGCAATTCTGCAGCCCGCTTCTACTCTTCGACTGGCAAATCTTTCGGGGGCAACTCAATTTTTTCGTCGTTCTTGAGCGGTCCCCGGAAAACAATCGTTCCTCCAGCAACGTATCGTCGAGCTGCTTTCCACTGTTGCGTCGCTTTGGCCATGTGGCACAAGAGGGAGTTCCGCATGTTCATCTCGTCGGCATTTACATGCGCCATCCCTCTGCGGTCCTGACCGGGTACACATGCTCCACAACTTCGCCACCATGCTTTTAACTTGTTGTCTTCGTAGTTTGTCGCCATTTTCCTTTTTTCCTTTTTACACACCAAAGGCCTACGGGACGCCGAACGCCAGAGGAGAGGAATCAAACTCAACGCGCACGAGTGACCAACGGCAAAAATTGTCTCTCACGCTCAAACTGAAGGGAACAAGCTGCCCATGAACAGCTGCAACAACATAACGGACACCCTCCCAAAAAAGATAACCCTGAGTGTACCGATCTCTTGAGTGACCTCGGCTGGTGCACACAACGTATGCCGAAAGGTGTAGGCAGTAGACAGGCTCCCTGAGTCGATGAGACGAAAAAGAATATACAAAAGTCATTTGCCCGAACAAACCCTCGGTGGTTCCTCGCTGTTCTACTCTGTACAAATGGCGCCCTTGGGAACCCTGGGAAGTACTATCAATTCACTACGTATCGACATCGCGCCATAAATATTTACCATCGGGGGACAGGGAACCAACCTACAACACTGCACGTGCATGTACATGGGATCGTCAAGCGAGAGACACGGGAGCCTTGGTGGTTACTAATTCGCCGGCATCCATCGTCAGCAGCAGTCTCCTCTGGCCTTCGACGGTATCCGGAGATCGGTGGGCGACGGCGAACGCCCCGCTGCCGCCGCCTTTTGCCAAACCGTCTTGCGGCTTCCCCCTGAAAATAAGGACATCCCCCGGCCTTGCGCGTCGAGCCTCCCGCCCCCCGCTGATTTTCTGGCGATTGAACGGGATTGCATGGTGTAGCAAGCGGGGAAGCGGGGGTCAGTCAATGGACGGCCGCCTACTCCTACTGCTGTACTTGTACTAGTCGCACGATGAGGTCGGCTATGTCTGGCTCGTGTCCGGAAAACACGGTTACCTGCGGAGCTGTCAAGTTCTCTAGCTGCAAAGCAAAGCAAATGAAGGACGCCTACCAACACCCTTCCTGCGGTGATTATTGGCTAACAGCTACAGGAGGCTAGAAAAATTCGGCCTTTTTGCGAACTTGAGAACTTGATGGAGACTGATCTTTGGTGACTGGAACAACCTGTCCACTTCGGCAAACCGTGATTAGACTGCACTTCGGTTGTAACGGCATGGGATCCATACTTGCAGAGGCAGGAATGAGACACTATTTCTTGTCCGTGTGCATGCGTGCGTGCGTCCGTATCTCACCAAGTTGCACGCCGGGGGCATACTCTTGTTGTTCTCCATCTCCCATTTGTCGTAGACGTCCAGCCATTCGGTGCTTGGCCCTACGTACGTGCAGATCAGTCGTATCGGCACCTGTTGTATTTTCGGGGCAGGTAGAAAGTAGAAGACACGCAATGTGCGTCGCATTGCGCTACATACGTCAGGCAAGATGTATCGAAGGTCAACCGCCGCCGCCGACAACAGAACAACCGATCGAGTACATGTGTACCATTACTTTGCGGTAACAGGCAATGGATAACGCGGCAGAGAGAACAGCCATTCACTACGAAAGATAATTTTGTTGCGGAAGCGTTTCACCATTTGCTACCACTCAAACGGCATCAATATGGACGGAGGGATTCGCAAAGAAGTAGACGAGTTCCCCGCAGACGCCCGAGCCCTAGATGTTGGTCGCCTATGCTACTCGTCGCTCTTTATTGGGATAGATACGGACAGCTACACCTCTTTCAGCATCGAGATCTCGCCCCCCGGAGCGCTTCCAACAGACTTGTGGTAAATATCTTAAAACCTAGCGGAAGCCAGCTAAACTCGGGTCACAATCCTTCGCTAATGGACCTCCAGCGGCATTTTAGGGCTGCTGGCGACCGTCTTCAAAATTGCATGTCCTTGTCTTACAGTCATATCTTGAGAGCAACCATCGCTCCTGCTGCATTCGCCTAAATGGGGTGGTTCAATTTCGAGACCTAAAGATGTTTGCGGGGACGTGTGGAGATTAGTGACTGCTAAGTTCCCGCCCAGTAGATGCTACACCGTGGGTGCTCAAACCGAACTTTCGCAGTATTCGGTTGTCAACGCTCAAGACCGCATTTGAGGTGGTGCGTAAATAAATGAATAGCGGATCTAGATGTCCTAATGAAACACCAAGCACACCGACTTGCCCTCCGCCTAATGCCCCCGTGATGGTTTCCCTATATGCACAGCAGTAGGGAGCCCACACCTTTGGTTTTCATGGCGATTTTTTCAGGGATTGGAACAGTTTCGTATTCCATCAAAGCCAATACAACATCATGGATTCCGGGGGTGAACCGGGCCCTATTTTTTCACCTTGTCAAGATGGAACCGTGGGCACTTTCCCCGCGTCAACAACTCTAGCTTCACCGTCACGTCGACGGTTCTTTTGTCCTTCCTCGCCAACGGTTCCGTGGCAATGCCGAGCAGAGAAGTTTCGCCAGGTTCGTCAGATAGAACGGAAATCTCTCGGGCGAAGATCCTCGCCACGCGTTTGATGTCCGCCTTTAGCCAGCGCGCGGCTGCCTGAGCCTTGACGTCGAGCTGCTGCTGTAGGTTCGGCAGTTTCGGGTGGAGGGGACTCGCGTCATCTTGGAGTATTTCGCCCTGTATTCTTCTTCTTGCCAAGTTTTCTGATCGCGGTTCCTCGCCCGCGTTGTCTCTTCCACCGGCGTTTGAAGAAGAACTGCTGTTGCCGATGCTTGCTACTAAATTGTCTAGCCAACCATCTCCTTCGTTGTCGGCGTCGTCAGAGTCACCCCGCCTGCTGCCAGGACGTAGCACCTCGACCTTGAAAGGGGTGGCGTTGTCCGCGAGCTCCTCCAGCCCCCTGAGAATCTGATCCGGTATTTGTCTTTCCAGGCACAGCAATCCTGCTGCCAAGCGTCCCGCTCCCGCTCCTTCTGCTGCCACGCCGCTACGCGGGTGCTCGGCAAACTGCGTGTTCTCAAAGCTCTCGAGCGGCATGTGCAGCGTCCGGGTCGTGACTTGGACTGCTTTCTGCTGATGGCTCGGTTGGCGATGTTCGCGGTCGACCCCCTTCAACCACGAGGATATCAAAGACCGGTGGCGTGACGGCGATCGCAGCTTCGCCCGTGTAGAAAGATCGACAGGTGTCGCTCTCGGCGAAGAGGGTAGCAGCGGCGGTGGGGGCGCTAGAAAACCAACTGCTGGTTGTACTCGTGGTGAAAACTGAAGTGGGGAACCGGCAGGCGAGGTGGGAGGAAAGAACGGTGCAGATAGATAGCGTGGTAGAGACGGGGGGGGAGACGACGAACAAAGGCTTGGTACTCAATACTGCTGTACTCAAACCTCATTACAGTAGGTGGTCCGATATACCGGCAACCTGAATAGCAGCATGTGCTCGGATTGCCCCTACATGCCGAGCTATATCGGGCCACCTGCCGTATAGTCTGAAGCGCACGACGCCTACCAGGCAAGATGCCTATAGTATACGACACAAGATCCGATTTCCAAGATCGATTTATAAACAGCAGAAAGAGTAGGGGTGCCGAAAACAGCGGCGTTGAAGCCTTCTGGTCGACATCTCTCCGAAAACGCATCGTCTCGTTTAGTCTATGCATCCTCTTGATCGTGGAGTAATCGAGTGAAAATGGGGGGGGTGTCGTAGACTATACGGTACTGGAGTACAAAATCGGAGATTTTCTGGCTATCATGTCTTGGCAACGACAACCTTGTGCAGTACGCATCAACTACCACAGTCAATATTGAAGAGCAGCAAGAGGTGAGATCAGGGTGGATGTGATACCTGTGGGTGGCCTGACGCACCACCCACCGTGTTATCTGTGTACACCAGTACACGTATATGTATGCACATGTACAACAGACTAGATCGTCTGTCTCTCTCGCAAGAGGTGCGTACACCAGATGTGGCGACTTCACCTACGCCATACCTTCCATACCTGACAGGATAACTCCATCGCCGTATTCACCGGTAGCTCATGCATTGCTAGACGCTACTCGGCAAACACCCTCTAGAACAAAGCCAGCAGCGTCCTGCAACATCGCAACTGAAACATAGGCGGTGGAATTCCACAACTCCAGCACGGTTCTCTCCGCGTTTCGGTGTGTGAAAAAGGTTCGGCAATCACGCCGCACCTGAGAACGCACCGCTGCACCGCTGCTCCGTCTAGCCGTCGAGGTGCAGGTGCAAAGAGGCGGGTATATACTTACTGCGGTTCAACCTCCTCCAGATCAGACCGTACCTTACCCAAGAATCATCAAAGGTGAACACAATTGCTACACCAAAGTGTACCTACGGAAAGCAGTGGTTGTGCACCCTGCGGATAATTGGATTGCCATCATGATCGACGACGCTTTGGACTCGTGTAAACAACAATATACAGTAGTCCGTGCTGCGCAACTACCGCTGCCTCTTCTTCTTTTGTACCACAACACGAGGTATTTCCTGTGGTCTGATCCAGGCTAAAAAGAAGTATACGCTGTCGGTGAACCTACGCACAGAACACAACACCAGAGGGTTGCGCATGCCTGTGTCCAGGATCTTCTCGACACCATACTACGTACTGTGTGTACTGACCTGTGAAGTGGCGGCGTAGGACTGAGGACTAACTGAAACGGATGTTCACACTGCCCTAACACGGACGATACTGTCGTCTCTACTAATCACACATGTACAACCGCATGTCCTGTTTCGAGTCACTCCCCCCTCATGTGGTGTATTGTCAGATGAAATACTGTAGACATAATCATACAGTCTATCTTGAGCACGTACCGAACATTTATTTTTCTTTGCCCGATCGTGTGCAGGTAAGGACCCCACGGCCCCAACGTCTGTCAAGGATATTTATTCTTCCTTTAACGCTCCGAAGGACCGAATACAGGCGTTTCGCTTTTTTCAAAGTTCTTCAGACGTTCTTGTCACTGTCATTCATTTAACGGCAAGCATCTCGCTTCTCACTCCATTTCAGAACACAACCGGCGTGTCGAATCGTCCTCGTCGTGCCACGTAGACTTTGAACTGGAACATAGATATTGCCACAGTCAACGCCACGACAATATTGCACGGTATATCATACAAGAGCAGTAGAACCCGATTGATTGTCATCCTTGGGAACACATTGCCAAGTCAGCCTCTGCGCTGAGGTGGGTTCTCTTTATGATACGTTCAGGTCATCTCTCTGGCCGCATATATATGTACTCTACTCCATTGGTACACAGCAGCACCGATTCAAGGAGGTATGGGACAGCATGCGGGATCTACCATGGAATTCGACCCGTTTCTCGGCAAGGAGAGCCTTTCAGCGCTTGGGAGAATGGGCTTCGGCAAGAGGGAGGCTCGACTAGGCCCACATCGCTATCATGGTGTCGCCGCGCGAACAAGACTTTCCGTCGCGGGCAAGGTTAGTCGCCCACACACATCCAGCGTAGAACCAACAGACGATACACGCGGAACACGAGAAAGATTCTAAACCACCGATGTGCGTGCTCGTTCCGAAGCTTAGGCCGTCAGTGAGGCTATGTGTCGACGTGTCAAACGTGTCGGGAGAAGCAGTAATATACTCCTGAGAAGAGCAAATGTAAGCGTGGTGACGACATTCGCCTGATCGCCCTCTTCCTCTCATGTCTCTCCGTCATCGATTCCAGAGCTCGATGGTCACTACCTCGCACCATCGTCACCAACACCACAAGGAACGAGTCACCATCAATCAGGTAAACTATGGCGAGACGCAGCTACTACCACTCAAATGAAGTCCGGGTGCCTGACATAATTCAACGTAACGCACGAACGATGCTACGTTCAATCACGGACGTTCGCCGAGATTGAAAGAAAGTACACGATTCACGTACACGGCGTCGTGCAGTATTTCCGAAATGGTGTGGCCACCTCGACGGGGCCGCTCTTCAAACGCACTCTTTCCAACGAATTCCCAAGGACAACCCGACGGCACTAAAAACTGGTTCAAATCACTAGTGCCGTCGCTATGTTGGTACGCACTGACTATTGAACGACCCGGATAGTGTCGTACCTCAAGACACACTTTACGTTGCACAAGCAACATCCTACTTCGTTAGAACGGACAAACCAGGGAGTTTCCGTGTTTGACAGGATGAAGAACACATACCCCAGGTAACAATGCTTTGACTGCACTTTATCTAGTGAAACATGGTGCACCAAGCCGAAACGACTCTTTGGTATGCTCAAACAGGTGAACGATCTGGCAGAGATTGCCCGCGAGATCGACAGTTTCACTACGGCTGGCAAACGCATTCCTGTCGCAGTCTGGGAAAAGTACGACCGGATCAACAAACGCCACAAGAAGCACGAAGATATGATGGCCATCGCTGCCGAGGCGCGGAAAAAAATGAAACGGAGAACAAGAAAAAGAGAAGAACAAGGACAAGAGGCGGGGCAAGGATGCACAGCTGACAATAAAAAAGATCTCGACGGGCCTGACCAAAAAGAAGGAACCGCTTTCAGTACCGACAAGAGCAGCACCGGCACCAGGAGGCACCACCCTGTGTCAAACAACACACCGTCGTCTTCATCGTTCACAGCAGACAGTACGGAGCTCTCGTTGGAAAGAATGCCAAAACGACACACAGCCCCCAGTCCGTTTCAAGGCGGCGGACGTTGCACCTTCGGCAGTGGCAGAGGCGAAGAAGAAGCAGATGCCCTAGAAAAGTTGGCGAGGCGTGAGGCACACGCATCGACGGCTAAATCGAGAGCCGGTCCTTCTTCGTCTTCGTGGGGACCCCAAGAGCGAGACAAACTGAACGAAATTTGTGAGTCCGATTGCAGCAATCAGCGGTTGTCGTTTGCGAATACCAGCAGTTGTGCATACTTGCTGCATCAACATCGCACCTTTGTGCGGTAATGTGAACACTGATCTTGTGGGCTTATAGATGCATCGTCCCTAAACGTGTGGTACTCAGAACGGGGGGAGACTCTCCTCTTTGCGGAGCGTGGTTACGCCTGTAGAACTAAGGACAAGCTGAGGGGACTGAGGCAGCCTGAGTGTTTGGCCGTTTCTTGTCCTCGCTCCGGTTTTTGCCCTCTCCCCCAGTGAGGCAGTTACACAGTGTTTTAACTGTCTCTGGAAGTGAAAGCACCAGAAAATAAATTAAGTCATACGTAGCTGTCATCCGTACGCAAGGAAGTAAGCACAAGATGCCGAACACCCTTAGCAGGATGCAGCTCACCCTTCATGCGACTCGCCAAATACCTCACGGCGCTTCGCGCTTGGTGATGTGAGAGCCTGGTCCGGTGAGAACCCGGCGTGCTCCGTCCCGGCTTTGTAGGGATGCGAGGTCAATGGTCAAACGACTACGGCATGCACGACTATGAGTACACCCCCCCCCCCCCCCCCCCCTCCAGACTGGGACCTTGGGCGACCTCCCCGCAGAGGCGTGCACGCCGAACGAGAGCATTTCTTCCGCTACACCCAGCGCCACTGCTTATTGTTTCCTCGTCGGTCTCCCGCTGAAGTAATCGCGAGGCTAAAGCTCATGTTCCGCTACAACACCCTGAAGGTGACACGTGGTTTATATAGTTTACCGCAGACGGGAGAGATGTGCGCATGACTGGCACGGTGACGAACACAGAGGGATCCTTCCCGTATAGAAGTACTTGCTAGGCAAATAGACTTTGCCTCGAGGTCGATCGAGACCCTTGTTTCTTCGCTCTCCCAATACTACGCATACCTCGCGTTAAACATACGTTTGGAACCTTTATTTAGCGTTTGGCTGGAGAAGCGCAGTATTCGATTTCTTGGTTGCATCGCCAGAGCGGTGTCGTCGCGTTTGTTCATGTTGAATTCAATAGTATCGCCGAACGAGCAAGATCTCGACGTCATCGGTCTGCTCGGCTCAAAGCTTGCTTGTATTGCACATGACGGTGTCGCCAGAGGCGTCATTCATGTGTCCAACGTCTTGGGCAATTTGGTTTGTTCAAACAACTGTACTTAGGTAGTACAGGCGAATGTCACATAGCTGAAGGACAACTGCTGGCCCACCAGAAACCCCACGTCAAACCCCTCCACCGGGCGTTTCATGCCAAAGGCAACGTGACACGTTCCAACTTCTTCTTCCATCGCTCCCCGTTGCACAGGAGCCAAACGAGCGAGAGCACTGGCTCAAACTCAACGCTAAGCGAGGATTCTTTCCACAGCCACAGCAGAAGGCGAACGCCGCCGCCAGCAGCACACGTAACGACACAAGCCGCGCCGTTATGCCAACGGCTACTACGGAACCCCGCCAGTCTCTCGACTTTTCCAGCCTGGCATCGGAGCCCGAACACCCGACAGCGACCAATGGTCTCCAGAAATGGCCTCGTCCGGGCTCGGAAGAAGAGCCGCTCTTTCGCCGTTCCGGCGGGGGTGGGAGCGCGCCCCTTTGTGGTGGGCGGTTAGTATCTGCCGCAGCCGCAGCCTACGCCGCCGAGGCCAAGAGAACTGCTTCCGTTGCATCCTCTCCCTCCCGTCGGCTGCGTGCAAGCCTACGGGCAGGCGGTGCGCCGGTATCTCCTTTCTACGACCCGGTTCGTCCGAATTCTCCCGCGTGGGGGTTCGGGGAAGCGCCGCCGGTCTCTCCGTGCTCCTCTCGCCCGTGCTCGCGCGGCAGCGGCAGAAGTGGTGGTGGTGGCGGCGGCGGGAGCCGAGGGAGTGGTGGTGGATCTCGCGGCGTTTCGAGAGGGGCGCAGCGGGGTTTGGATGACAACGCCCACGCCGAAGGCGTCGACGACGGCGGCGGACACGAAGAAACGGAGCTGCTCGACTACACCTCTTTGGGCTTGCAGACCATCTCGAGCAGGGCGACGTCTCCGGCGTTTGGGTTCGCGAGGGACGGCCTCGGGTCCGAGAACTTGTCCATGTTCCAGGCGGACAAGAAGCCGGAACCGGGGCCTGGAAGCTTCCGTCCAAATCTCTCGGCCACGAGCACCCACCCGGGGGTGCGTTGTGGGGTCTTGATGGGAGGGCGCTTAGGGTCGCGAGGGGGCGGCGGCGACGAGGGAGGCGGCAAAGGCGGCCGCGGAGGTACAAGAGGCGGTTCGCCAGGGGGGGTCGGGGAAACTTCGACCCGACCGAGTCCAGGACCGGGGCAGTACATGGCGTGGGACGGCATCGGGAGGCAGATCTTGTCAACGAGGCCCTCTTCGCCCGTTGTAACGTTTGCCTCAGGAGACTGGGACTTGCGTCAATAAGAACGCATTTTGGTTGAAAATATCGCTTGTGCACGCGAGGGACGATTCTATCTATTTAGAATATCTGCTCCCCGATTTGGTGAACGATACGTGGGGATTGTTTTGGACGCAATGAGTGTTTACTATCTTTTCGGAGCAAGATACAGGGAGAAAAAATTACATGTGTTGCTGGAACCATCGTCGATGCGCTGTCGGAGCTATCGTTGTCGTTATGATGATGAAATCGTTCGAACCACGCCAGCGATCAACCCCGAGAAAGTCAATTTGAGTTTGAGACACGGGAAACGTAACTCGTATTTCATATGACATATATTGTATTGTTGGTTTTCACGATCACCCCTTGAATCAGCCCAGGAAAGAATAAGATAATATGGTGAAACTAACTTTGAAGCGCGAAAGTCCTCAAGTATCTCAGTCTCCAACAAGAAAAAACTTCGTTCATCCGACGCAAGCAATATGTACCCAACGCAGATGCAAAACGCGCCAACTTCACGCCGAAAACTTGCAAGAATCGATGGGCAGTTGACCAAGTGCTATTGGTAACCGCGCTCCAAACCTTCGGCCCGAAAAAGAGCCTGATACACCTTTCCGGTCCTCAAAAAGTAAACAGCAAGCTACGTCCCCACTTCCCGAAAATCTTGCATTGAGAATGAGGCTAATCAAGAACCTTCTGCCTCACAACACGCCAGAGAGCAGAGCCCACTCTTCTCGGACGCTCTTTCGCCTCTCGTCCTGCGCCCAGAGAGCTCGGAAAGTCTCGAACTGCGAGAGTCGCCCCTGGTTGCGCTCTACTATCGACCCGCGCGGGAGTAGAAACCCCTTCGCCTCCTCGCTTGAAACCGTAGACCAGATCACCTCCAACCGCAGCACCCGACATCGACTCTTTGTTCTGGAAGAGAATCCGGGGTTGGGGTGTGGTGGTTAGTGTATGAGAGCGGCGGACGACATGGAGCGCGTTTGTAGATGACAGGCTTGACAGCAAGATATCAGCAACGATGACGCCTTGAGGGACAGGGGGCGGGAGACGCGGGCGGGGGTTCGAGGATGGGACAAAGCTATAGAAGTATCTCTGCAAGTTCTTGTGTCGATTTACATCCTTTTCATGGCAACTACACCGTCGCACCCGTCGAGAACCCCTCCGGTAAAGCATGAAAACGTTTGGATAAAAGGCGTGCCTCAGGGCTTTCTCCAGGGCAAGGAGGCGTACAAAATACACCATCCCGGAGCGAAACGTCCCCGGGCGTGGGTACTTATGTTTCTGTTGTTGGCATCCCCGGGACACACAAACAATTTGCCTCAGGTCTCTCACACTGGACCTCGCGATGTCAGGCCCAAACAACGTGCGCGAAAACGCATTCAAGAAGCAAAGGAGGGCAGGTTGGGAAGCGTCTCGACACCGACTTTTAACTATTGTGTCTGTCTGGCCGGTTCTTGTTACGGCCAGCTAATTAAGCAGTTAAGGCAAAAAATCTCTTGGTGCTCTGCAACTCTTGCGGTACCGGACGGCACACTGGAGTTGCGCACCGGCAGACCGTGACAATGCAACTTATGTTATTGCCGACAATAGCAATAGCAGCAGCAGCAGCAACGAAAAGGTTGTCACAATTTTGCGTAAGCGCTCTCCGTTAACACGCCGTCGGACGGCCAAAAGCGTTCATAAAGCCCACCCTGGGGTGTCCTCAAAATTGTTGATTCTGGGGAAGAAAGCGTTTCCGTGACGACATAATTTTTTCGGTGGGTATATTGGTCAACTCATACCATCTGTACAACTTAGGCCGCAAGAGATTTAGTACAACTCGTTTGTTTACGTTTATGATCTGCAAATGTACCACCCTCACCGGTTCGTCATGATACAGCGCCATCCTTTTTCTCGAAGGAGAGTGGGAGCGCAAACACAAAAGCTCGCAACCCACGCGTCGCGCCCCTCGCCTATCTTCTTATTTCGAGCAATACCTCATCAGCCCCACCCGTCGAACACCTGTTTCTTACCTGTCGTACTCCAACACGCCTCCTTTATCTTTCCTCCTCATCGACCGGAACGAGTCCTGCAGCACGTGCGACGCCACCGTTCTCTCCCCGACGAACTCCCCGCCGCCATCAGTCCACGAGCCCCCCTGCACCACCATCGCCGTCGTTGGCGGTCGTCCCACGTGCCCACCTTGCCGCGTACGACTCTTTTCCGCGGGGGTCGCCCACCTCGCTCCTCCTCCTCCTCCTCCTCTTGCCCTTCCTCCCTTTCTTGTGGCCCCTGTTGCGTTATCAGGAGCAGCGCCGTCGAGGCCAAGACTGGCCATGCTCAAGCTTACGCGCGGGGCCGAGGGAGAGTTTCGGTCGACGGCCCCCGAGGCGTTTGCAGGGAATCCGTGGTGGTGGCGGGAGGGGTAAGGGCCTTGGGAAGGGGTCGGGATGTTGTTGGTGGTGGTGCCCCCTCCTGCGGTGACGAGTTGCCCGTCTTGGTCGACGTAGAGGCGCTCGGTGAATATTATCGTGTCGCCGACGACTATGTCGTCGTCCGCATCCACGTGGAAAACCTTTGGGCGTGGGGTGGGCGTGGGAGGGGGGCGGGGGGGAGAACCATTGAATTCCTCGTCATGCGGACGTCAACTGTCAGGAGCTCTAAAGATTCATACCACTGCGAAGCTCTTGCGTATCTTGCCAGTACTGACGGGTTTTACGTGTTGTATTACCATGGGTATGCGAAACGATACCCTCTCTGTGAGATCACGCTGAGCGTCGACTCAGGCGGAAGGACATTTGCACATGATGGTAGTTTAGACAGACACTGCCAAACAGAGGTCCTCGAACATTACCCCTCTATCAACGGGGTCGTTGCTCATGGATAGCCCCACAGTTGTAGACCCACTCTTCCAAACGTGCCAGGATCAGTAGCTGATGCACAAGGGCGTAGGCAACACATGACTGCGCTGTTGACTGCTGCTACCTCCTGCGCGTATCGCTTCGTCGCACCCCACGGCAGCCGACACCGGCATCCTCTCGATCCTCGGACGAAACGAAACTAGACCTACAAACTACCTACAAACTCCGCACCTCGGCGGCGTGCTGGGGCTTGCATAGGAGAGACCCGACCCTGTCGTCCCATCCTCCCCCTCCACCGCCGCCCCCGCTCCCAGCCGCTCGCCGCAAAGAGGTTGCCGCTTGGGCCGGGAGGGACCACTCGCTGGCGACACTCCGCAGGTTGACCGCACACACCCGGAAGTGGTGGACGCTGTTCGCGGCCAGACCCGTAACCTGAGACGGAGGCCAAAACGCACCACACACAACACACGAGGTTGAATTGACAAGCAAGGATTCAACAGAGCACGTGATACGTAGACAGGCAACCGCGTTCACGTCGTATTGTTGGCACAACATCGTGAGGAAAAAAACACTATGACAGATCGACATTGGGCGCAGCGGGTGTCGCGCAACATGGTCCTTTCGTTCGTGCCTGGTCTCCCCTGTTACCTACCTTGGCCGTGCTGTCGACGCCCTCGTACACCGTCACCCACTCTCCGCCCGCCCGGCCGCCACCACCCCCGCCGCCGCCGCCACCGCCGCCACCGCCTTCAGCGACCCCCCACGCCGACCTCCTGTTACCACCAGTGCCCCGCCCCCGTGTAGTATTCACACGGTTGTTGTCCGTCGTCGCGAGCACACTTTTGTTGTTGTGCATGGCCCCGATCCCATCCAACCCTTCGACCAGTCGAGCCTGCAGGCGGTACTTGTGCGCGCTGCCGGGGCAGCCAGGATACCACTTGGCGACGATCGACCTTTGCTCGCAGCGGATGATGACTGGAGGTTCTGGTCGGCGGGGAGCCGTCATGACCTATTGTTGTTGTCATCGTTGTATTGTTGTTTCGTTTGATTCGATGAGGGCAGTATGAAAGGAATGGAAGGACGCAAGAGAAGCATTTTAGGGATTGAATGGCGCGGATAGGGCGGGCTGGGGCGGGGGCAAGGTTCGAGGCTTCTATTTGGCTCCCGTGCCTCATATCTTCCGGTGGCTGGCTTTCTTGCGCTCTGCGTTCGTGGCTAGCAGTTCCCCGGGCTACGCTGAGAGTGGGGGCCGTTATGGCCTCTGGTTTGGACTTGCATTCGGTATAGAAAATGTGATGGTGCCTACTTTTTCCACTATACGCAAGTACCATTGATCCAAACGAGTACATATTGAAAATTTCGAGAACCAAGTCTCGAAATCCGCACACGGAGAGAGTTATCTGCCCATAGGGTCTTTACATTCTTCCTTCCGTGGCCCTCCCTTCTGTATCTCCTGGTATGTCTGTCTGATTGTCTCACCTCGAGCGGAGCACTGAGCGAACTTCGCGTCCTGGCGTTGACCGCGCGTACCCGGAAGTGGTACAAGGTGTTGGGAGCAAGACCTGCCACCTCGCACCCGTTCGCGCGCCCCTTGAAGGACGCAATCGTGGCGGTTGTGCTCTTGGGGAGAGCCGTTGTTGCTGTCACCGCGGCTGCAGTTGCTCGGGTGGGAGGGACGCCGCCACCACCGCTGCCACCCCGTGCCGTGGCTGCCACTTCCGCCATCTCGAGAATGTTTCCGGCAATGCCGTCGTCTCGCATGAGGACGAACCTGGTCGGATTTGTTTTTGGTCGGGACGAGGCAACAAGAATCAAGAACATACGCCTAAACGGGTTTTGTGACGTTTCCAACACTAACAAAAGACATGCTGGAAAACTCAAGGCCATACAACACGGTTCAGTCGAGCCGCGTTTTCGGTTGTCGTGCGGTTCATGACATGAAAGGTTTGGTTATTGGATTACTCTGCCGAATGTGGTATGTTTTGACAGATTAGCGGTAGATTGGCGACTCTTGGTGTGAACGCTTTTTGTCTTTGTTTTTCCGGCGCCAAGCACGGTTGAAAAGAGGCACGTCGTCCAATATCGACAACGGTCAGCGTAGGGAGTATGGCGGCAGTGACACTGCGCGGTTAACATGCTGTGTCTATGCCAACATGCAACGATACCAACACCACCAACAGCCGCAGAAGGACAAACAAAGCCCCCGCCCAACCTGTCGCAACCCCACGCAGCATGAAGCACGTTAACGATGGACTGGCTCACTTTGCGGCTAGATCGGAATGCCACCACGCGTCGAAGTCGTCCAAAGAGAGCGCGCCGTCGATGCCGTCACCCCCGCGGTCCAGCTCGGTGAAGGCCTCTCTTAACCGCTCCTCCGTCACTTCTACGCCGAGAGCTTCCAAGAGGTTGCCCAACTGGAGAATGAAGCGCGTAAGGTTAGGTTGCCCGCAGGTGTTGAGGTGAAGAGGGGCCGAGTATTGTCTAGTCTACTGCTGTAATTGTTTTTATCGCAAACGGTCAGCGCACTTGCTTTGTATGGTTCCTCTCTATATACCAGTAAAGATAAGTTGTTGATGGCCCTTTCTACTATGAGATGCAACAGAGGTAGCTCATTTTCGTGGTCTGAGACAATCTTCTGCTTGATTCGATATTCGACGTCTTCCATGCGGGCGTTTCATAGTCCCATCAGCTATCATCGTTTGACCTCACGAAAATTCTGGAACAAGAAGCCTTAGTCACACATCGGACGGGGAATGCACCTCCGATCACAATTTTTGGTGGGGAATGTCAACACTCACCTCCAAGGGGTCAATCACTCCTCTTCCGTCACGGTCGAACTGCGAGAATACCGCCTCCACGCTAACGCCTCGGTCGTCGGAGCATTCGTGGGCCCACTGTTCGCATTGGTGGTTGCAACAGTATCCCAAGCAAAGAGAGACACACAATTTACATGTGCTATGTTCGTATGACATCGAAAAAACTTCAGTAAGGTGCGTGCATTGTCTTGTTACATCGTAGTCGACGAAGCAACTGTCCCGGGGAGCTGTTCTTCACCACCACACGGACCAAGAGAGGGGCAAACACCCCGGCGGTGCGCAGCAAAAACCACAGCATCTTGTCGACACGATAGCAAGAGGGGATAGATTCACATGGTGAGTACCCGGGCGGAGGTTTGTATGCTCCGAAAGTCATGACGCCTCCCGAGGTACCCGAGGCGAGCTTCTCTGGTCGGGGACAGAGCGTATCTAAAGTATCGGTCGTACTGTTCGAGATTGATTCACTCGTTGATTAATGGACTAACACCAGCGCACGTATCGCCGGCATCGAACGCGTACCCCCGTCTCCTTCCCCTTTAGGGTCGAAGACCACGGCGGTGCATGAAAACGAGGGCATCCACCCCATCCGTTCCCCCTCCTCCCCTCCTCTGTTCACTCTTGATCTTGCTGTTCGCACCTGCATGAGAATTTTCGTAGCCGCCCTGTCAGTCGCAGTGCCACCTCCTCCCGCGGCCCCGCCCCCGCCCCCCGCAATCATACCGCCCCCGCCGATCGGCGTTGACGTCGTGCCCGCTGCCGCGTCCCACCGTACCCGCACGCGCGTGTCCCATACCCCGGTGTTCGTGACGGTGGGCTTGCCAGAGGCCACGTTTATTCTGGGCGCCCTGGGCGTAGGAAGCAGGGTGTTCACCACCTGCAGGTTGTTCAAACGAAGGCATGACAGTGAGGCAGAGACAAAGGGAAGAGAGGAGGAGGAGGAGGGGAGAGAGAACTATATTGGAAGGGGCGTGAGACGGGGAGTTTGTTGCAGCCGGAGCTACAGAGATAACGTTGAAAAATGCCCTCGCATTTTCGAAGCTAGCTTTACTGTACATGTGATCATTGATGTGTCGCAGCAGCGAGGGCAACCTCTAAAAGCGGCAAGATACCTTAGATGCCTTCGGAGTTACACCCACGTGTACATGGTGCCAGTGGGCCTGTGAAGCTGCCTACCCTTACGAGAAAACATGTGAAAGGATCAAAATCCAGTCTATACCTTTTTTCGTTTTTGCATGACATAACTTTGTAATTTTGCGACCAATACGTTCCTGAAAATGCAAGTAGAGACAGAACAACAACGTCAACAACGATACCTCACCACAGACTCGCTGACAGGTCCGTCGAGACCCTCGCAGTTTGTCGGTCGCACCCGGAAACGGTAGCCTGTACCGGCCTCCAGCATTTTCACTCGCGCCGTCCCTGTTGTGCCCTTCCATGCCTGACACAACGGAGAGAGTCGACCTTCCTTAGTGATGCAACCGCCCGACGGGGCATGACGTACGTGCATTATCGCTGTGCGGCCCTCTTGCCGAAACAAAGCGCTAAAAAACAAATTCAACACCGTGATCCCCAGAAAGCACGCTTTCGACTCCTTCCTACACCCACAAGTGCCGGCGGTGCGACCAACCACGTGGCAACAGCTCACGCGCTCTCTCACCTCCTTCCAACGATCTCGCCCCTGGCTGGTGCACACTTCCACGACGAAGTGTCCTCCACCGATTGCCGTTGCCCCTCGCCCGTTTGACTCTAAGCCACCAAAATCCACGGCAGTATCGGGAGCGCTCACGACACGAGCAAGGTGGGTGTCGATCTGTTTGGTGGTTGCATGTGAGTTGCCTTCAGTTTCTAGGTGAACCGAGAAGCGTGAACAGTCGTGTGCGTAGACACTACAGCTACTTCCAGCGTGGAAGATATTCCAGTCGCGACGCTTTTTCAAGACCAAAAACATAAGCACACGTGGTGAGGCCATCGTTTATGCAGGGATAGCAGCAGCGAGTTCGTAACAAAGATACGTAGTACGGCGTACAAAAATAAAATATCTTAGGATTTGGACGTGTCGCACGGATGCGACCGACCCGCTCCTGCACACTTCCCCTTCCCCTCTACACGCCCCTTCGCCCATCTCTAGATGCAGGTAGGATGTGTGTGTATGTGTGCACCTCGTCCCAAGAGATAAAATCGTCGTCGTTCGCCTCGATCGCATCGAACACCGACAACGCCTCCGAACCGACTGCCACCGCCACCGTCGCCACCCCTCTCCTGCCGCCCGTACTCCTCCGTCCCCCGGCGGCCCCAGAGCGACGACGGTGGTGGTCGCGGGTAGATTCTGCGCCTACCCCCCCTCGCGCCTCCGCTTCCGCTTCACCCTCGGCTTCGGTGGCGGCACCGGCGAGGGTGGTGGCCTTGAGGAAGGCCATGAGGTGCGGGTGGTCGAGATCTAGGGAGGCCAGAAACTCTTCCCGGCTGACTTGGCCGTCGTCGTACTCGTCAAGGGCGTCGAACACGTTCCTCAACTCACGCGCCTACGTGGCGGCAGTTTAGCGGGACGAAATGGAAGGGAAAAGTCATTGCTCGTGTTGTGTTGTTTGTCTTGTGATACATCACTATTAACTAGGATTGAAAACTGGCCGGAAAGGTCTAGTGTTTTGTGCGACTCATGGTTCGCAGCTTTCTCTCTCTCTCTCTCGCCCTCTGCATATCTCTGCATATCTTACCTTAGCAGCATTTCGACCACCAAAGACCCACTGCAGCGTAACCTCGGTCGGGGCAAGCTTCACAGCCACCGGCGCCGCCGGCCGACAAGGGCGGGTGGCGAAACAGCCGTGCGCGTACGGTCCAGGACCGAAGCCGTTGAACGCGCGGACACGGAAGCCGTACCTCGTGTTGGGACGCAGACCTCGGACCCAGAACTGCTTCCGGCAGCGCAGCGTGGTGGTGCGATACGCAACGAACAGTGGAGTGGGGTGTTACAAACACAGAGAAGAGAGAGAGAGAGAGAGAGAGAGAGAGACAGAGAAGAGACAGAGACAGACAGACAGACAGACACCGAGAAAAATACAGACGAGGGAGGTGAGTAACTTTACCTGCAGAAATGATATCGTTCGCTATTTTGTGCGGTAACCACAATTGTGGAAACCTCGTATTCTGGCGACTTCTTATAATTAAATCCCCATTTTTCGGCGAATGTGCTGATGTAATCGTATTATATTCCGGTCTGATTTATCTACGTACAAACGTGATACTTTGTCGCCCTGCATCCGGCGGCGGATCCTACGGCCAAACGACCGCAGAAGCGCAAGCTTTCGTTACTCTGTTCGCCGTAAGGTTGAGTAATAGCTTCCATTCATCACCTGATACTGCGGGTCACCGTCGGCATCCGGGGGGTCCCGGCAAATCTCTCGGTGCGCCCCTTGGCAGAACGCCTTTCCCCCCTCCGGGCCGCTCATCTCTAGACTGTAAAACGCCACCTGTTGTTTGTTGTGGTAGTGATTGCGAAGGTTGGTGAACGTGATAAGGTCTTTGTTCTTTGGTGGCGGCCGAGGTACTCGTTAGCATATGCGCATCCGATTTGCAGCACGTGCCGCGTTCATGCCTCCGGATAAGTACTGTAAGCGGGTGCCGTTGACAAAGGCATGTGAAAAACACCCCCCACCGCTCTACGTTTTACGATTAGCGCGCCTCCCGCCAACGTTCAGTCGAACGACTCTCTTTTCTGGGGTATTAATCTTGAATCTTCGCATGCAGCGTCCCCTCGCCCCCCCCCCGCCCCGCCCAATTGCTGTGAACATCCTCACCGCAGACCCGTGTTGTGGTCTCCAGCACAAGAGTAGCTCCTCGGTTAGAGCGTCATCCTGAGTAGAGCCAACGTCGGGGTGGCCCGGCTCGGCGCTCCAAAACTTGGGGGGCTCGGGCGCGACTCCCTCCGCGAGGAGCTGTCGCAGCTCACTTGCTTCTCTGTGTGCCCGCACAACGAAAAATGAAGCGGGGTTCGTACAGCAGGCTTGCGGGCAATGTGAGGTATTTGTGGGTAATCTGCAACTTCGATGTGTGTTAGACAAGTTTCGACGAAAATATCAACAACTATTTTCGTGAGCTGCTTCTGGAAGTATAGGTTTTGGCACGTGAGCAAAACTCGGGGCCTCTTGTAGGGTAGCTTCCAAGCAGAGGGCTTAGGCTAGAGATTGTGACCTTACTTATATATGCACCCAAGCATATTTTAAGCAGGACGAAAGCAGCAACGGCGACAACAACAACAACAACAACAACTTGAGGAGAGTGGTGCATGAACATCCACATGCCAGCTTGGAGAGAGTGGGCAGGCAGTAAGGTAGTGAAAACCGTCGGTAACAGGCAGGTATGGCGTTGGACGCCCCATGAGAAACAACCATGAGCTATGATCGCACGCTTCGTACTTTGGTGTGCGCATGATATGATCGTGTACTGCCCCCTCGTCAGACCACGCAATGTCCGTCACTACAGCAACAAGAGCAATAACATGTTCTGCGTCACATACCTATTCGCTGTGCTCAACCAACGATATGTCCTCAGAATACACGTCACGTACCTATTCGCTTTGCTCAAGCGCTTGAGCGTCTTGAGCCCCTTGATCCTCTTAAACATGGGCCATTGCGAAGCCTCGCACGGTACACTGCCGCTGCCCCTCGTTCGGCCAGGACTGTTACGATCCCCACCCTCTCCCTCGCTCCTCTCGAACTCGCCTTCTCCGTAGGAATTGTCATCATCATCCTGTCACGACCGAACAGAGTTGGAAGGAAGTTAGAGAGCACCATCGGTTGCAGGAGTCCAGAGGTCTTGAGTCTTGGGAATACGTTAGTGTCCCACGATCAATTCAAACGGAGCAACTCCCTCCCACAGAGTAGGAAGGTAGGTAGGTGGGAAGTTTCCACGTTTGCGTCTGTTATTCTGCTGCTGAAGTTATCAAGGGTTTCGGTGAGAGCGCTCCCGCATCTTTCGTTGCTGGGCCGCACCATCGCGGTCGTGTTCAACGTGTGTAAAAGGGAACACCGGTAAGACTGTTGAGGAAGGCACCCGGTTTCAGTCGAGGGGCTGAGGAGAAACTTGGACCTGTAAAATGATCAATCTCTAAACGAGTTTTCTGCTGACCACCGTTAGCTCGTTGAGTTTTGGTGTTTGAGGAATCGCAAGGTGCACACGAAGACGATGAAAGGGGCACGCCAGCCCAAGGCAAGGGCGTCCACCCGACCGAATGAAATCAATGTACATTCCGATTAGGTCCTGTCGTTTGTGCTGAACACCAGGACAACGTTCACAGCATGTTTCACCTCGCCCTCAAAGCCGTCGTCGTCGTATTCGCCACCCCCATGCCCCCCCCCGCCACCGCCTCCACGACCGCGCCCCCCCCCGCCGCCTGTCTTCTTCTCGGCGTGAGCAAGGCCGTACTTCCGAAGGATCCGGAGGCGCTTGGCGCGGTCCGCGAGCTCGTTACGCCAGCGGCGGTCCCCGCTCTTGAGGGTGATTATCTCGCAAGTCCCTCCCCACGCGGTCGTTGTGGTACCTGCTGGACGCCTTTTTTTTTGTATAGCACGTTGAACCAGCGTGCAACCGAGAGAAGAGGGAATACACAAGCAGCATGATTGCATTGTACGACATAGAAAAGGGGTGTGGTGTCTTGTGTCGTTTACGGTACGCAATTTCTCTGTGTATTTGTAAACAATTCGATAGATGTACATGCAGCCTCTCACCAACCATCCGCAGCCTTGTCTTCGTCTTCGTCGTTGTCGCGCATCACCCCCTTCCCTCCCGTCCCTTCCCAACCGCCCGTCGCCGTCTTCTTGACAGCCGATACGACGAAGGCATTGGGCATACCGATTTCCGGGCACGTGGTTTCCCACACGCAGCGCTTTTCCAGCCTCTTCGCTGCGTCTCCCCTCACTGCCTCTCTTACGCCGCCCGTGAGCTTCTCGAAGTCCTCCCATCTCACCAAACGGTCCTGCAAAAGAAATCAATGAATCGAACGCTTGAGATGGATGTCTGGTTGTTGCCACGTTGTAACGAAGATAACAACGAACCCAAACCAGTCTCTCTGAAGAAGGTAAAAATTTTCTCAGAGGGAAAGATAACAAGCTTGCGTGCCCGCATTATTCCGTGCGGGTCGACTGAAAAAAATGATGCGGACACGGCGACCGGAGGCAGTTCTTATTGTTTGAGGGGAAAGGATGAAAGGGTAATCGTGGCTTGTTCGTGCGACGGGAAGGAAGACGAACAAATAGCAGCGGCTCGCGCTGAGCCTCCCCTTGTGAAGCTTGAGCGGTGGAACGCCGCATATGATAAATGACCACTACGATTGCCCTTCTCCTGCCTTGGTTTTTCCCGGGGAGGGTGCAGAACGAGTTCGCTCATATCAAGCACGTTAGGTGTGCATGCAAGCTGACTCCTTCACAACCGGCCTCCAGACAGAGAAAAAACGTGGGTACATACGCTGTGGGAAGACATAGTTGTGTTAACTGAAAACCTAACACTCTCGGACGCTGGTTCAACCCCGTTCACGGCCTACGTGATTATTCGTACGATCAGCACGTGAGTATTGCCACGTGTCTCGTCTCTTGTATGCGTGTGACGCATGCATGATGCGCCGATCAACCTACAGAAGTATACATCATCCGTGACACTCTGTACGTACCTCATTCGTATCGAAGGAGTCCACCAACCGGCGCATCTCTTCACCTCGCATCAGGATGCCGAGCTCCTTGGTCAAGAGTTGTCTCATTTCCCTGTTCAATGCGTTTTTTATGCCACGCGGTTGAAGATGACAAAATTCTCTTCATTTCGTACCTTCTAAAAGTCAAGCCGCATATTGGCATGTTGGAAGGAAAGGGACTACCAATTCCTTCCCTCGTGAAAAGTGAACAAACGTACCGCGGAGGAATTCTTCTTGTGTGACCCCGGATTGGAGTTCTTCACCGAGAGAGGCAAGAACATACGGCAGATACAAGGACTCAAACAGGTACAGATCGAACAAGATACAGTCGCCTGGTACAACAACAGTATTTTTCACTATGAACCGGTTGCTAATCAGAAATGTATTTTTTCGCCAAGCCTGGTAAAGTTTCTCATCTTGAGAAGTGTGTCTCCTTGATGTGTCCGACTTAACTTCAGTACAACCTTACCGTGGCAGCGCTCCCCACGTCAAAAAGTCTAGGCTGTGTTTCTGACTACAGTGGCCCGTTTACTGTTAGCGTTTCGTGAACGGGAGCATTCATCGGTGCTCTTTTCTGGCGCAACGCTCAAGGCGTCCTACGTCATTCTCAAACGCAGGAGAGAGGGGGGGAGAGGGAGAGGGAGAGGGCGAGGGAGAGCCTAGGAGGTCGTTTACAACAACGAAGCTACAGGAATGATGCTCAGGCATTCAAGAGAGTCAATGGGTCCTTTGCGTTAGCACCTGCGGCTAAGTACGAGGTCTTCTGGCTCCAACTTGTCGTTGTCGTCGAACCTCTGCCCGCGGTCAGCTCCCGCCTTTCTCAAGCGTCTCCGTACCATCTTTTTCCGAGTACGCGCAATAACACATACAAAAGGGGCGACAAAGGAAGGGTCAAGAATTAGGCAGAAGCCACCAGTTGCTGAGCACAAGCATCTGCGCTGTGTGTGTTTCTTTTTCGGATCGACTTCCTCTTCTGGACGTAGACTCCAACTCTGAGGTGAACAATCCGTGAAAAAATGCCTGTAGTAAATCATGGGGCAACCACGAAATTCAGCTATAACAATAGATTGCATTGTACTCCTAGGCCCCTTGCGTGGGGTGTCCATCGACCGATATCGTCCGTGACCCCCACCTTGTGAAACGCTTCTCGATAGTCCACCCCGGGCCGCAGGAGCTTGAGGAATGTCTCTCGCGTCGCGCTGTAGGACGTCGAGTGGGTGTCGCAGCTCCGAGGCTCGAGCGCATCCCATACCGCCTTGATTTTTTTGTTTAAGTGTGTTGCGTTTGATGTGACAACGTGGTTGTACCGGCTTTTGGTCAGTTCGTGTCTCGTCGTGTATTGTGAGCAGCAGTTCATGTCTTACCGCATTGAATGTGCCGTGCCGAGCGCGAGAAGCGACGAACGGGAAAAGGGCGAACACAGACGTTAAATGGAAACAATTCAGAGGCAGGCGTTTGCCTCTTCCCCGAGTAGTTTGTTTTCCGTCGGCAATACATTAGTGTTGCGCAGGGTCAAAACAATACCGACATCCTGACCAACCTGGCAATGCGCGGGCGGGAAGTTTCCACGCGCCCACGCTGTCCAATCCGAGAGAAGACGGGCGTCGACGCTCTTCAAAGCACGACCGACCTGCAACACAACAGAAGTATGAACGACAGTTGCATAAACGACACCTTCGTAGTGATGCAGCGAGTGGAGTGTAGAGGAGTTCGTACGCAGCAAGTCTGCATTGGCAGTACCAGAGCTGTTTACAGCAACAGGGACCGGTATCCAACGCCCTCCCCGATGTCCCTTCTCACATCATGGCAGTGCTTCAAGCTCTTTCTCGAAAGAGATGGCGGACCGATAGTCTCAACTTGAGAGTGAGATCTTATTTCAAGTAACAACAGAGTCCCCCCCCTCGCCATGCGCTAGAGAGTAGCTGGGAGAAGAGGAAGCGAGGGAATGGTACGGAAACGGTCCAATGGACAGCGCCAAAAAGCTGAGACTGGAAGCTTGACCAAGGGACACAGGTTTATCAGTAGAAGTACCATGCAACGGTGTGCTTGCGTGATGAAGACAGAAGTTTCACAGTTTTGTGGGCATGAAAAAGTACGGGGGGAAGAACGGGAAGCTCTCCAGAAGGAGATGAATAGGAAGATGGGATACGATTAAAGGTTGATTCAGTTTGCAACCGTTGAAAATTAGGCTGCACTAGCATACGCACGGTAGCCCCAGGATGCAAGGAGAACGCACGTCCAATAACTTCCTGTGCAACGACGGCCGAACTGTGGAGAGAGCTCTTTAGGAAGTAAGGACGGCACTCCGTCTCGAAAGGTGGCGTGACGCGTTTTCAACGACAAAAACCTACACAGTACACAAAAAGCACGCTCCCCTTGAACGCCCGGCCCTTTCTTTCTCTTCATCTTCCTAACCTCAAGCCAGTGTTCCTTCTCCCTTTTATCAGCGCCCTTTCCCGAGGGAGGGGGGTCGATGTCCTCCAGGCACCGCACCGCGGCCTCCTTGACGGCCTTGAGCCGCGACCAGCCGCGGAACGCCTCCACCTTCTCAGTTCGACGAGCAGCCGCCCGAACGTTTCTTTGTCGAGATACCTGTGGTGGCCACGAAAAGTAGTTAAAAGGGTTGACTTTGGTCCTGGTACATTGGTGTAAAAACGAAATACAGCACCAACAAGTACCTGTGGGGACGGGAAGAAGGGTAGCACATAGTTTTGTTACCGACGCTTTGCGTCCGTCCATGAATTTGGTCAGTTTTTCAATCACCGTTTCTTTGTGGCGCTTGATTTGCCTCTTGCTCTTTTCCAGATCTCCTTCTACCCCCTGCCGTGCGTCTGAGATGGCGTGTGCGTACTTCATTCCCTGTCCCCGCATGATGTCCAGCGTGGTGGACGCGATGAGGTTCTTGTTGGGCCGCACCAGCCCCTTTCCCCCGGAGAAATCGAACCTGTTCGGTTTCGATCGATGGATGTGTTGGTCAGGGGTGGCGGAGAAAGGACGGCGTGGCTCACGGGAGTGTTGGGTTATGGTTGTTCGAACGCGATAGCGGCGGCGGCGGCGGCAGTATCACGTGTTGTGTTCCATGCCCGGCGCCTTGTTCGGTGTCGGCATCGAATAGCAACAGTGAAATGAGCTATAGGACGCGCTCGAGCAACCGGAACGTCTTTTGAGTGCCTTATCTACCTATGTAGTCTAGCTGGCAGTTCGCGTGTCTGTCCAACAAACAGATCTTGCTTCTGTCGTTTACGTCTTTGTTTGTGCTTCTGGACAAGGTGACAGCTGGAGGTCGAAATTCGCACAACGTACCGATGCCGCTCCTTGGCTTCCAAAGCGTTCCCATCGAAAATACACGTGACCGACAACGACAGATTTCCTTTTCGAAACAGAAGTTCGGGTACGTCAGTGAAACAAACGGGTGTAACGTGGATGTTGTCCAAGATTGAACAAGAAACTATCATAGCCCGGTTTGAGAAATACCGTACAAAATATCGCCCACGCTATAAAGCTGGGCCTACGTTGTAACCAAACCTCGGGGGCTTCCAAACTCCCCCTGGACGGAACGCCTCTTCGTCCGGTATCCGAAACCGCCGGGTGTCTTTAACCCGAGTCCACCCCTCATGGGCACGTCGCGCGTCCTCTTCCTTTTCCAGGCGGGCTTCCTGTTGCAGCACAAGCAGCGCCAGCAAGAAGTACAACGGACGACAAAGAAACTGAAACTCATGTGAGAACGAGTGTGTGAGCTTTCCTCTCTTCGAATGTAAGCACGCGTAACGAGCACGAATCGGAGGTTACGCTGGAATAGCCAAGCACTACGCTTGAGAGTAGGACCTTCGCATGTAGGCAGCACACTTTACGAGGATACCAGGAAATACTTAGTTGTCTGTCGGCGTTGTAGTCGTTGTTGGGTGGTGGTGCTTGGACGTCTTTATCACTGTGCTGGGGGCCAGCAGCCGATGTTGGTTCTGCGAGTATCACCCGACTCCTAGCAAATCGTGGAAGGCAATGACTTGAAGCTAGTAACCCCAACCAAGCGTTTCTCACTGAACAAGAGCCGACCCTTTCTGAGTCACACGGACCCCAGTTTGCATAGAACGCTATGACTACTGAAAAATGCCGCAGGCTGGGGCTAAGGTGCGCAAACACCACGCGTAGCGCTGTTCTTCAACACTCAACCAAGAGGGAGAGCTGCGAGGAAACCAGCGTACCACAAATCTACTCCGATGCAATCTTTGAGCAAGGATCCGAGGGCACCCACAAGAGCAATATGTACGTCATGGCTCAACCGAGCCGATACCATTATCGTGTAATCCGCTACCCACATCCTCTTTCTTCTTTCGCGTGTCGATGTCTTCTTCGAGTAACTCGCTCAGACGCCGAATGCCCACAGCGACCAGGCCGGCATCCATGTAACGAGTCCTCCTCGCCTGTAGTCCCCTGTCTTCGTCCTCTTCCTCTCCGTAACGGTAGCTTGAGCGCGTGGTACACACAACGGGGAGGGTTGGGTAGTTCGCGAATCGTAGCTTTTGTGATGGAGAGTATGGGGATGTTGGGTGCGGACCTTGTTGTCAGATCGTGGTCGAGCACGCCGTGGTGGTGTGATGCGCCGTGTGCTCGTAGTCGGGATTCAGCGGCAGAATATTTTCAACTTATCATCTTGATACTCACTCAAGCTGGAAGTCACAGAAAGAAGCAACAAAGTGACGTCGGGATCAGAAAGATGTTCGAAAGCATTCTCATGAAAACATGAAACTTGTATGCACACAATACTGAAGGTGGTCCCTCGTTCGCTCCTCCCTGGTTGGAAGAGCGAAGAACCTATCGAGGTGCAAACATCACATCAGTTCAAGAGCTGCTTTCACCTGTCGAGCCCGCCCAACGATAACTCGGGCAATACTTCCGTTTCATCTGCTGCTGCTGTATCACGACTAGATGTCTTCCTCCCCGCGCGCTCCTTTTCGTCCCCGTCTTTCGACTCTCCTCCTCGCCCTCCTACTCCTCGTTGTTCGTCCTTTTCTTCGCTATCCTCCTTCGTCTCTTCCTTTGATACTGCCCCCCCCTTCCTATTCTCGTCTTTGCTCTCCTCCGTCGCTCCTCCTTTCTCTCCTTCTCTTTCTCCTTTCGGCGAGGAGGACCGATCACCGTTGGAATTGATTGGTGCGTCACTCAAACCTATCGCCTTCCGCCGCTTCCTTTGATACCTGTTGCGTGGGCAGAGTGGACGCAGCTTGGCATCAGCAAGGGCCAGCATCTCCCTGGCACCATTGGGCGCTTCTGAGCGTCAACTTCTGGGTAGCACTAAATAAGTGACACGAGTGGGTGGTTTGGGCCACTACGGGACAGAATCACAGAAGAAGCATCTGAAGGCGTCAACAAAAAAGTGGGGTCTCTTTAGGTGCGTCACGCACGTTGGATGTTCGAACCGTACTCCCCGGACTAGCGGATTGCCGCTTCTCTTCCTCGTACCAACGGCTTACGGGGGTTTGGGGGTGGTCAGAAGCACAGTGTGTCTCGCTCGTGTTCTTACGTGGTTTCAGCGTCTTCGACATATTTGGCCACCTGCTCTCGCATCTCCCGGTTGGCGGCAACCCAACCAGCCCGAATTCGCCTAGAAGAATGAGGAAAGAGCGACGAATGAAACGCATGACAAATGATAGGGGCGCACCTTTGCTGCGGGAGCACGAGCATATCCGCACGCGATAATTGTATCAATCTTTGACCTTGTCCCTTCTAAAAAATTATTGATGTTCTGGTGGAATCCAGGATAAGACATACAAGGAGTCCACCAACAGGTGTCGATGATACGTCCCAAGACCCAGCGGATGCAAAGTCTGCATTAAATATAGCCATCCTGTACGCCACAGCAATCTAACGTACGGTCGAGCCTGCTTATTGTAGGATGGAGGAGCCTATACTCCAGAAAAGCTCAGCGATAGGAGTTTCCCGTTTTCGTCGACAGCCCTGATCTACAAAACAAGAATTGCACGTTCACACACAAACTGCTCGTACCGTAGGAAGATCGCGTTCATTGCTTTTTGGTCGTCGGTCATCGGTCGGGTTCTGAGACCACGCCGAGCAGGAGGTGGAGGGAAGTGATGCTTGAGCGATGGCAGCACCTGCGAGACGGACGGAGCACGAAGTTACGTACCGTGACAACAGATACCTATTCGTCATGTGTCAATAAACACACGGAACAATTCCACAAGTCCTGAACCCAGCGCACACGGTGGTATACTGTTTGTGCAGAGCAATGCACAAAACAAATCACGATATGAGACTCGAGAACCTCATGCAGCACAGAGTCGTCGTGTTTTCATGTTGTAAATCAAACCGGCGGTGCCATGGGGGTGCCAAATAAGTTGCAGTGGACACGACACAAAGCAAAGGCTCTCTTTTCGCTGTCTCCCGTGTGCAGTGCAGGTAATGTGATGTTCCGGGACTGTAGGCTGGTGCGTACTGCGTGACAAAAATACTTTCTGCGCCCTCATACCGTCGCAGATTCGTTGCCGTCGTCGTCGCCGTCTGGCTCAAGAAATTGTCGTGTAGCTGCTCCCAGCGATTCGACCTCCGCCGCTGTGAGCTTCACAAAGGTGAAGGTATGTCCAAACATGGACCATTTCTTGAAGGCGTCATACATGCTCTGCGGCCCGGCCTTGGCCTAAGGAGACGGCGAGAGATGGCAGCGACGAAGGGATATTTTAGGGCTGTTTTCGGAGGAAACATGTCTTCACCGGAAGCGACAGGTAGGCGGTTTTTCAACAGAAAAAATCCCAAGGGGCCTCGGTTTCAAACATGAGAGGGATTGCCTGCGGCGTGAGTACCAATTGCACTATCGCTTCGTCGTATTGAAGTCTGCCCAAAGCCGCCGCCCCGCACGGAAAGTTGTCCCTCCTCCGAAACAATGCCCCGGGGTACAGATAAAGCCTTGCGGTGGCCCCCAAGGAACGACTTGCTTTACCCTGAAAACTATCGGCAATATAAAGAAACTTTTAGTATGTACCTCGGAATTTGTGTTGCATCAAGTCCGTTGGTGTTGTCGTGGTTTGTGTCTTCAACTTCAAGATCTCGTTGTTGTTATTTGTGGGTACAGTAAATCTGTGTGGTGAGAACACGGTTCTTCACTCTCCCGCCCCAAGCAATACCCCGCTGAGGTGCTTTCTGTTAGTGACGACCCTCCGCTTGATTTGACTCCGGCGCGTGCTTTGGCGTCGGGTTTGACGACACCTCCCCCCCCTGGACCACCTCTTTCCGGAAGATGGAATGAAGTCTACATGCTCGCTCGTGGTCGGGCACACGTGACAATACATACTGTTACCTTCACTTGACGACAACCTACCACGACAATATACGACAGCGTTAGTCCATTCCCTTACTGTTTTACTGAAGCACCGGAAGCACGAGCCTGAATACGAAAAATAGCGTTGGATTCCAACATGGCCCAGTAGTATCCCACCGCATCAGCCACATGTTTTCATGATTTCGTTCCACCGCACATGAATCTCGAACGTCGTGTGCTTATTGTACCGTTGCATTCTTAGTGATTATGCATCTTCTTTATTGGTTGTTGTATAACTATGACTCGATGTAGCCTGGAGTTTGAATAACGATATTCTTCGAGGTGTACTTCATCACGAGCTCTTGTGCGTGTAGTCTACATTGTCTATCACCCACCTTGGTCGAACCATCCCGCTTGACGTTGCGGATAGCGACGTTGAGATCGATCCCAAGAGACCTGTCTATCGCTGCGAGAATCACGGCCACCTTCTTCCACGCTTCCTCACCCTGCTTCCATCAGAAACAGAATGACATACACAGTTTCACAGCGATGAACATTTGGAGAGGGTTTGGCGACAATCAATTACATCCTCGCGCCCGCGGCATACGTAGAGAGGCAGCAGTGAATCTCCAACAAGCGTTGGAAAAACTGCCAATGGATCGCCCCATATCTTCAGTGCTTATGTCCTTCGTGTTCATGGACAACGACGAAGGTATGAGACTACGAGACAAGTCTACATGACTCTGTGCGTTCGTGGTGTTTCCGCACCCGCCGACACAGGCAACACAGTAGAGCACGTGCGTATCCCCACCTCGCAATGGCCGGCATCCAGCTTTGCAAACAACGCGAGACCTCTGTCAAAGCTGTCCTTAAAGCGCACCCATTCGTCAAACTTCTGCGCCGCCAGCTCTTTACGCTCTGCCGCCGCAAACAGGGCATCCTGCTCGTAGTCCAGACGAGATGCCTTCGACGCGGACGACCGATGCGACGTGCCACCTTGTCGCCCGAACATAACCACGCTCGCTATGCCAACGCTGGCTCTCTCTGTACATCGATCAGCCGAGCACGCTGCCAGGAACTACTCTTGATGTTTGATGGATGACAGCAGTGTCGGCATCGGCGCACAATGACTCGGTGGGGAGCATGAACGTAGTCGTAACGTCGAAACAATCACCCAATCTCTCCGGTCGATGAAACGCCAAAAGCCAACAGTCCCACCTAGGGGACTTCGCAGAATCTGATGGGGGGGTTCAAAATTGCAAAATATGAATACTTGGGGGTAGGTTAGAAACACGTTAGCCAATCAGACGACAACTCGTGGAGACGTCCCAATTTTCTCGATTCTCTGCTGCCACCAGAAAGCTCGCGGCCACACACGCGCCCAGCACACAACCAACACATCACTCATCGGAACAAAGCAATCCTACGGAGGAAGGAGCGAGTTATAGGCCCACCAGAGACACAACTTGATTGAGCAACAACATGAAGACTTCGATGTGGCGAGTATGCCTCGCGGGAGCGCTGGCGTTCGCCGGCGTGGCCGTCCGCGCGGAGGAGCCCGAGCCGATGGGTACGGTAATCGGTATCGACCTGGGGACGACCTACTCCTGCGTGGGAGTGTTCAAGGGGGGCCGCGTGGAGATCATCGCGAACGACCAGGGCAACCGGATCACCCCGTCCTACGTGTCGTGGGACTCGAACGGGGAGCGCCTCATCGGTGACGCCGCCAAGAACCAGGCCACGATCAACCCGGAGACGACCGTCTTCGACGTGAAGCGTCTCATCGGCCGCGGATTCAGCGACAAGTCGGTCCAGTCCGACATGAAGCTCTTCCCCTTCAAGATCGTCAACAAGGACAGCAAGCCCCAAGTGCAGGTGAGCTCCGCAGGGACCTGTTGTCCCGCGGGCGTTGCTGCGTGTAGCAGCTACCGCTGCTGCAGCATTGCCCCAAATGATGTGTGAATGGGCATGGTTGTGTGTCGTGTTGTCTCCACAGCAGCGCTCACGTCCGCAGGTTTTGTTTGCGCAATTTTGCCGCAACCACCCCTCTTGAGAGCCGTGCCTCGCACTTTGGATCGCTGTACATAAGCCCCCGCGCGCCGTAGAGTCTAGCGAGGCTTTTGCCCCCCACGTTCTTGCCATGGGGTTCTGGTGGAAGCGCATATTCTCTCGACAAAATTACACAGAAGTCTAGAACTGGTCGTGTCACCCTGAATGTTCGCCCAAGACAATGATGCACCACACACATCACAATCGTCGGTGCCTGTCAGCAGCACACCTCTCCCTCACTCGGACCTAGACAAAGCACGACTCCCATACACGAAAACGCAAGAGTCGCTGTTGTGGTTGTCCACCCCGACAGCAAGATAAAGTCCTTCCTGCGAAGCGAAGCGGAAGCGGCGAAGCAACGCACATAGACGCCTGGGCCTATTTTATTTTGACCAGCCAGCAATTACCCGTCATTTCATTGAACCACGTGTAGAATCAGGGCTCTCTTTGCATCTTGCATCCACAGCAAAGAGATGCGGTACACGGCACATTCCCTGTTGCTGGAACAACCTGTATCTGACTAGAGAAGTCACACGATGCCCTTGGTTGTCTGCCCCGTACCGAGTATGCAAGGCAGAAAGCTCTTGCACAGCAGGCGCAGAATATTTTTTTCGTAAGATCTGCATCAGGTATCGATCGGGTGACACGTAGATACGGTGCTGGTTGAGCCCTCGCAACCAAGAAAAGGACTGCGTTCCCCATTGCTGGAAGACCGAACGAACAAATCAATCGAGCACAGGTTGTCGTGCTGTTGGCTTCCCGTTCCATCCGAGAGCAACTCGGCTTTTCACTCAAAGTGTGATCGATGGGCGTCGTGCATGCATCATCCTTTTAAATATCCTCTGACAAAACGATGCAACTGCTGCTGCTGTGTCCGCGGCTCTGGTTTGTTGAACTGCTGCGGGCATGGGACACAGGTTGACGTGAAGGGATCGAAGAAGACCTTCGCCCCCGAGGAGATCTCCGCCATGGTGCTGGTGAAGATGAAGGAGATCGCGGAGGCGTTCCTCGGCAAGGACGTTGCCAACGCCGTCGTGACCGTGCCGGCCTACTTCAACGACGCCCAGCGCCAGGCCACCAAGGTGTGTGAGAGGAGGCGTTATTTTTGGCTTGTGGTGTGTGTTTTGAGGTATGTGAGCACAAGTCCTGTGTTTCATGAGGAGCAAGGTAACGGTTTTGTACGCATAGTTTTCGTTCAACGGGCGGTTTTTGTCGGGTGTGCAGAGTTCATTCTGTCATTCGTCTAGGAAGCAGTAGGGTCTCGTTGCAGTAGTTCGGTAACCATCGACTTCTGTAAACTTGTTCCCCCGCAAATTTCTTGTTGGCATCCTCGAAACCATTGCCAACTTCGCATCGTGTGCAAGCGTCCTTCGTACCAGACGCACTAGCTGCTGTTGATGTCGCACCAATCAAGCGGCGGGGAGGTACCCGCCTACCGAGCACCCACAAGCACTCATTTCTAATGTAATTTTCTATGATACAACTAACTTTGCGGCCTACCACGGCGCCATCTTGGGGCCTGCCTCACAGGACGCCGGTACCATCTCGGGCATGTCGGTGAAGCGCATCATCAACGAGCCCACCGCCGCCGCCATCGCCTACGGCCTCGACAAGAAGGGAGAGCAGAACATCCTCGTCTTCGACTTGGGAGGTGGTACCTTCGATGTTACCCTCCTCACCATCGACAACGGTGTCTTCGAGGTGAGCCCATGACGGTATTTTGGAAACACCCCGTATTTGCCGTTGTTTCCTTCGTGATGCAAGACGACGTTTTCTTTATGGCCTTAGTGCTACACCAGATCGCCTGAACATTGGGGAGGACTCTTCATGTAGTAGTTTACGTTTTTTTTTAATCCTGTAGTGACGTGCCACGCATCAACCCGTTCACAAGTGACTGGACAAATCGCGTGATGAAAAGTGCCACCCACAGCAGAAGGCTAGTGTAGCTGTTCGATCATGACCTGCCAAAACATATCTCTGACCCTGGCCCCTCCTGCTTCGTAAAATTCCACACAACATTCAGGTGCTGGCAACGAACGGTGACACCCACTTGGGCGGAGAGGACTTTGACCAGCGCGTGATGCAGTACTTCCTCAAGATGCTCAAGAAGAAGAACGGCGCCGACATCTCGAACGACAACCGCGCGCTCCAGAAGCTTCGCCGCGAGGTGGAGCGCGTGAAGCGCGTGCTGTCCACCCAGCACCAGGCCCGCGTGGAGATCGAGTCTCTCGTGGATGGCGAGGACTTCTCGGAGACGCTGACCCGCGCCCGTTTCGAGGAGCTCAACATCGACCTCTTCAAGAAGACCCTGGGGCCCGTGCAGAAGGTGATGAAGGACGCGGACCTCAAGCTGTCGGAGGTGGACGAGATCGTGCTGGTTGGCGGGTCTACCCGCATCCCCAAGGTGCAGGAACTCCTCAAGAACTTCTACGAGGGCAAGGAGCCGTCCCGCGGCATCAACCCCGACGAGGCCGTGGCGTACGGTGCGGCCGTGCAGGGCGGCATCCTCTCGGGCGAGGCGTCGGACGCGACCAAGGACCTTCTGCTGCTCGATGTGACCCCGCTCTCCCAGGGTATCGAGACCGTCGGCGGCGTCATGACCAAGATCATCAGCCGCAACACGGTCATCCCAACCAAGAAGGCCCAGACGTTCTCCACCTACCAGGACAACCAGCCCGCCGTTCTGATCCAGGTGTTCGAGGGGGAGCGGTCCATGACCAAGGACAACCACGTGCTGGGCAAGTTCGAGCTGACGGGCCTCCCGCCCGCGCCGCGAGGGGTGCCGCAGATCGAGGTCACGTTCGAGATCGACGCCAACGGTATCCTCCAGGTGTCGGCCACGGACAAGGGTACCGGCAAGGCCGAGAAGATCACCATCACCGCAGACAAGGTGCGTGTTACGACGATGGAGCCTTGTCTCGCAGCATCGGGTCTTGTGTTTCGTGCGGATTGAGTTTTTTTGTTGGGGTGGGGGACGTTGTTTCACCGTGCGTGCGAAAGCTTGGAAGTGTTTTGAGGTGTTCTGGTTTGTGTTGTTTTGGTCATGCTCCCTTGTATGTACAAGAGGTTCGCGAAACAGACAGACGAACACCGGAACTGTGATACGATTCTGACCCCCCTCCTCGCTTCGCTTGGTGTATTGTGGCGCACAGGGGCGTCTGTCGGAGGAGGAGATCGAGCGCATGGTCCGAGAAGCGGAGGAGTACGCGGAGGAGGACAAGGCGGTGAAGGACCGCATCGACGCGAGAAACTCTCTTGAGTCGTACCTGTACAACATGAAGAACCTCCTGGACGATGAGGAGAAGGGGGTGTCGGACAAGATCAGCGAGGCCGACAAGGAGGTGAGAGAGAAGAAAGGGGCTCGGGCAAGATCTCATCTTGGTTTTGGGGGGGATTTAGGTGCTGTTGCTTCTTTTCCACTACTGTGTACTTCATACTACCGTGCTTTTTAAGGGTGGGTGTGGGGTGTTTCACCTGCATCCTTGTCGGGTTGCTTGTTGGAATAGAAACACTTGCCTCCCTCCTGGAACATAGTGTCCACCGCGGCCTGAGAAATGCATGACAAGTGTTGGAATGTACAGTACAAGTACGCGGGGAAAAGTGGGGATTGTCTCTCTCGAATCTCAAGTGGTCGCGTTGGTTGCCGGCAACGCAACCCCGTCACTCATATATCTTGTGGCCTCCACATGCCTGCCCGCCTCCGTCTGTCTCTGTCAGGAGCTCGAGTCCACCATCAACGAGGCGTTGGATTGGCTGGACGAGACCCCCGACGCGGAGCTGGAGGACTTGGAGGACAAGAAGAAGGAGGTGGAGCAGATCGCGAACCCCATCATGAAGGACTTGTACCAGCAGGCACCGCAGGGTGGCCCGGAGGAGGACTTCGACTTCGGAGACGACGAGTTGTAAAATCTAACCTGATAGATATGCTTGTGACGGGGACGACAAAACATTTTTTAACATTTCACCACGGGGATAAAAAACAACATTGCACAACACCAGGGGCGGGAGAGAGAGGAAGGGGGCGTCGTGTGGTGTCGTGGGGGGGTGTATAGTATGTTGTGTTGTGTGCGTGTAGAGGGTGGGGTGTCTTATTTTCTTTCTCTCGTTTGGTTTTTGATTATTGTGGGACGGGGGGCGGCGGGCGACCTGCCCGTAACCTTCTTTGCCCTCGTAGTAATGACAGATTGTTTTTGTTTTTTTTATGTGTCGTGTGCGTGATTTGTGCGTGGAGTTTTTTGCCCGGAGGTCTGGTGCCTGGTGAAGGGAGTGTGATGCCTCTTTTTTGTTGAGCGATGAGACCGTCTTGGATTGAACTGGAAGCCTCCTCGGATCCATTCCGGTAGTGCGCTGAAGTAGTTCGGCACCGTAGTTTGTTGCGATGTCGGTTGATTCCAGTTTGGCAAGCCTGGCTTATTTAGTTGGGGCTCAGGACTGGAAATCAGAGCGAAACGATCGGAGGATCACAAAAAATACCAAGACATTTACACGTGCTTCGCAAGCAAATCGGAGGTTGATCTTTTACCGGATCAAGCTTTTTTAATGCATTTTCGTGTTCACTTAAAAGGCGGCCATGTACGGCGGTTCTACCAGGCACGTTTTTCATGCCGACACGCTGATCATGACGTGTCTTCGTGTGATCAAACGTATAGTTGTGATGCAACGTGTTTGTCTTAACGGACGCAAGCACGGCTTGTGGTAAGCAACCTAACATACTCCAGGAAAAATCGTGTGGTGTCGTCGAAGGACAGACACGTACGTACATAATATGCCTGAGGCAATGAGACTACATTCTCGATAAAAAAGAAATCGAACCGCTGAGAGAGTTGACATGATGTAGGTGTGATGATGGCAGCAAAAACCGAGGGGCTGCTTGCAAGTACGAACGAGCATGCATACATGCGACTCGTGTCAACAGCACGGAGACACAAAGAACATTAGTGTCGGCCCCATAACAAACGAAAACTGCTGGACGATACGTACCAGGGAGTGTCGACACACCTATGGGTAGAGAGAGGCGACCGAAGAAAAATGGAGGATGAATGTTCAAGTTGGATGCATGCATGTCATGCTGCTTCTCTTGGACGGAAGCACTTCGTTGGTCCGTTGTTATATACATACGCATCATCAGCTAGAGAAGCACAACGGAATCTGATGGAAAACATACACGATACTGATTTCTATACAGCGGCTGGAACCACGCCAACAAAAATTTTGACATGGGTACGACCAACGTCAACGCGAGCGCGTGGTGTGCTCCCGAACATACAGCAGTAGTCAGCTGCACAGCAGTATGACAACGACCGCCTCTCCGCCGTGAATTCCGCAACAAAAATGCGCGCCTTTGCGCGAAGTGCCAAGAAAAAGCGACCGACTCGTCCCATCAATTGACATCCGAAGTACATTTTTCCCCGATCGATATATATACATGCGTCGTCAACCAGTCTAGAGCACCTTGCTTGCTTCACAGTCTATTTCTACCGACAGACAAGAAGACAAGGAAGTTTCCTCATGTGCTGCAGGGAGTGAAGCCGACAAAAAAAAACCGTTCCCTTTCGTTCCTACTGCAGTTTTCGTTTCCTCTTCCAACGAAAAGCACGTCACGTACGTACGACGTGTGGATAGACTACATGTAAAGTAGTGTGTTTGTCCCCAATATTCACCCGAACCAACGACCGAGCAAACCTACTTCTTCTGTCTATGGCGTCTGCACCCTGGAAACTCCATCACGCATCTCTACGGGGACGCAGTGGCCGCTCTGTCGGTGGAAATCGGCGTGGTGAGACACGCACAACGCCTGCCCTTCCCGGAAGGTCAGCGCCACCAGGCGCGCCGCGGCCGCCTGTTTCGCGGACAATGAGGCAAAGGGCATGGAGGCAAGCAAGGCTCTATTACTCTACAAAATTCCGACGATGCTTGACATGCCAGGCACACCTATACGCAACACCCGAGGGCGGGGAGGGGGTGGGTACTAATAGCCGTGCACTCTGCCGTCGTTGTCGTTCGACCATTGAGGTCGCATCTCTACAAAGCCGGGACGAAGCACGTCGGGTTTTCACCCGACCAGCCTAGCACATCACCAAGCGCGAAGCGCCGTGAGGTATTCGGCAAGTCGCATGGAGGGTGCGCTGCATCCTGCTATGGGTGTTCGGCATCTGGTGCTTACTTCCTTGCATACAGATGACAGCTGCGTCGGGGGGTGGGGGGCTGGCTGGCTCTCAAGGTCTTCGGCCACGCTGGCTACACCGATGCACACATGCACACGACGATGTCGTCAAAGCTATCTACAATTCCCTACTTTCTTCCAGGTACTACTGCTCTTCTTTTCTAGCTGTAGTCGTCGCCGTAGTGGACCTGCCACCACCCCCTTCACTCATCACCTGATTGGTCTCGTCCAAGGCGGCGTCCACCTCGTCGAGGAGGCACAGCGGCGGCGCCTGATACGATGACAGGGCCAGCACGAGCGCCAGCCCCAGCAACGCCTGCTGGCCTCCGCTCAACTCCTGTGGGGCACGCTCTACCACACCCGCCACCGCCGATGACGGTGTTGTGGTAGTAGTGGCGGCGGCGGCGGCGGCGGCGGCGGCGGCGGCGGCTGCCTGGGTGTTGCCGTTCCGGACCACTAGACGTAACCCGTCCTCGAGCTTTTTTTGGGGTAGAAAGCGAGCAACAACACCAGTGATGGGGACAGAAGAATGAACAAAAGACTAGGCAGCAAAGAAAAGAGTGGGAACCACTGCTGTGTGACGGAAACAAGGGCGCGGGCTACCGCTTCGAGTGAACAAGCTACGGTCCTGCTGTAGCCAGCCAGCCAGCCAGCCGTCCGGCACAGAAACGTCATGCAGACATACCCATTCACCGCGCCGCGCCGCCCCCCCCCCCCCCACGAAGCCCCGGCACTACCTAAACCACACCCCCACAGAATAAAAACGGCCCCCCTTTCGCCCCGGCCTGAAGAAATCCGCGCTCTTGTTTCCGGAGAACGCGCCCAAAAAGGACCGTAACTCCCCCCCAAAGGAAACCTAACAAGCCCCCTTTGCTTTCTGGATGCGGGCCGGCCCAAGGACAAAAAAAAACCCCTTTCGCCCTGTTTCGGGACCCCGGGAATACCGGAAGGGTTGGGAAACATTTAGGTGACAACCATGGGTGGGGGGAATATATGAAGGTCAAGGGTGAAAAAAGAATCTATTTTCCTTGGACGGGGAAGACATGACATCCTCCTCCCTTTGGGACATAATCCCTCCCGAAAAAAGAAAATCCACCAAAGCACTTT